TCGCCCCCCCCCCCCCCTCCACTGCAAAATTCAAACAAGTTCTCAATCGAAGCTGAAATCAGTCTCTATCAGCTATTTCAGCCTCCGTGCAAATGCATTCGCCCCCCTTGGCACATTGGTCTGGTTACGGGCCTGTTTCTGTTGATAACGATTTATAGTGCACATCTTGCTTTGAGCAATTTTCATGATGACTAAATTTCTTCGACAAAGATGGAGTTCAGTCCTTTATACTAACTTCACTATATTCTAAAGCTTTATGTAACAAAAATCATCGGTTATAGTTTATGCACCGTTTTGACAGTCGTCAGGCACACGGGCCTATTGATCAGAAACAGTGAAGGCCCGACTCTCTCTATATACGGCTCTGGTATCTTACAGTGAGTTACAGAGCCGTATCTCTGACACCGTAAATCTGCATTTATACTTCTTTATACATCATAATATACACTATTGTCACTCCGGATGCATTACTTGCCCCTACGAACAATCAAGTCTTGCTACGGGCCTTCCTTTCTGAATTTTTAGATTTGTAAAAATAAACATAAAATTTTTGTCATTCAGGTTTATTTAGGCCTACTTTCCATGATTTTATCTTGGGTGTATGAGCCAGTGAAGTAAAATACTACCTTTTAGCCGAAAAGGATCGTAACCGTTTTACTGAAACCGCCACCTAGCCTATAACTTCATTGCAAATTTAGCATATTCCAAGTTATCATGCCTATCTGTAAAACTACCATTGACTGGAAAGACAATTTTTATAAGGATAATTACATAAACGGCATTAATTAATCATTCAACATTTTTAACTTAACATATAGCCTATGCGTTTTTCTAATATGCGGCGGTAATTACAAATACTTTTTGTGTCTAAATTTTCAATCAAGGTAAAAGTTGATTCTATCGAGTTGCAATGAAAATCATATTTCTTCTAATATTTTGTTAACATCAAATACATAGTCTTATTTCAGTAATTTAGAATGTACAATGATTTGAAAGTTTGATAAGAACAACATTACATCAAGGTCATTTATATCCTATTCATAACAAATGTCATAAGAAATGAAATGAGTATTATAAATAAGTAATACTTTTCAGTGGTTGTTTTTCTTTGAAGTGATAATAATGATAATATCAAGATTAAGAGTTTTTCAATAATTACTTATGAATTTTCCAATTTTCCAGACTTTACAGGGATTCTTAATGAACCCAGGTAAGCTAACTGATGAATATATATTCATATTGACCATTTCGGGAATTTCAATTTTATGTTCATTCTAAGACGTAGTATCACTTTAAGGAAACTAGACATTGCAATGAAATGAACAATGGGAGAGAGTTTACCAGGACAGCGACATATTTGTGGTCCTGCGGACCCATGTAAAGAGTTTGATATCAGTCTTGCCACGGTCATAAATCTATGTGTAAATACAGAAACCAATATCTGACCCCCTCGACCCATTTAAAAGTAAAGGTACACTGTTAGAAACTTAAAGGACTGCAGTCAGTGGCATAGCGAGGATGTCATGGTACAAAAAAGCATTGCCAAAATACGCCACTGACTGCAGTCTTTAAATTCCACTTACATGATAGTTACCTTAGAATGCAGATCAAAATGTTTCCGTGGGTTATTTCATTCGTCATTCACGATGTAAGGAAATTCTGGGTACCAGTTCGACTAAAATTATCACAATGAAATTTTTAGTGTAGAATAATTGTAGAATTTATGTGAAGAATTTGCTTTTTGTTACTGAATGATTGTGTTTAAGTTTACGTGTGCCTACACCCATATCACCCGAAGACTTTGAAGGATGAAAATTATTTTTGTATTTGAATAAAAACATAAAATTGTGGACACTATATTGGGAATTCTATTTATTAGTTAGTGTACAATATACAGCTAAAATTCTTTTTTAAAGAGACTTCGCAACGAGCATGTTCTGGTAAGAATTGGACTTTCGAACAAATTAATAGTGGCGTCTGGTAAAATGGTTTGATTTAGTCGACAGCTTTGTTTCTGTTTATTCAATTGTAGGTGAGCCAAACGCCTGGTTTTAATACTGAAGCATGTACAGATGCAGACATTGACCCCTTTCAGCCGATAAAAGAACTATTTAGACGACTACACCCCTTTAACTAGTATCAAGAATAGATGAGATATAGAGCACTTTAGAGTTTATTTGTGTTCAGTATAGCATTAGTAACTGTTGGGAGGTGTAGAAGCCTCATGATGGGGAGAAAACTTGTGACCTGGATTTTTGTTGTTCTGGCAATAGCAGGTAAACTGTTCTCTAATTGTATTTTCGTCTGTTATTGTGTTCACGTGTTTGTCTTTAGTTTAAAACAATCAGGCGTCGTACTATAGACATAGTAAACAGGTTATATTTTGTAACCAAATTGTTTTTACAGAAGCACGTACCTCTACTGTAATATAACATCACCATTATCATGACTATGTTTTTATTATTCATTAATAGGAGATGTGTATGTAAAATATTGCGCCATTACATGCTCTGTGTAATATAATATCATTAGTGCAATTAAGTTAATATTGAAACATCTTTCATTTCATTCACGGTTTATTGCGGCACGTGACACTATAGCAATGAGATTTTCCTTCATCGGAACTCAATGAAATATGGTAGGCCTATTACGCTGAAATTAGTGGACATTCAGATCCTAAACTGTAACATTGGCAGTGTCTGCTCGACGTACGTTGTCCGCCCTAATGTGTCGGAGCACCCGTTACAAGCTATCCTAAAATATTTCAGCAAAATGATTGCCCCGGGTCTTCATCTACGAGGGTGTTCTTCTATAGAGTAAGTACTGTTGCGGTGTACAGATATCTGTACTACATTATATATCAAGACTTCAGTAGCAACAAAGCACAATGTGGGGCCGTTGCAATCGCTATTGGAGGGCTTGCTTGATCCGATCTGGAGATAAGAAAGAACACATTGTGATGATTTAATTACATCTTTTTATTCATCAAAATATCTTGTGGACTAGGTTATGTCAAACTTTTGACAGTTCGGGTGACGTTTCTTTCGTGTATATTTAAATCTAGTAAACAAATAAAATGTAGACCTATATATTGTACAGTAGATCTTAAAAACTTCACAATCATCTTATACAAACACAGAGTTATTGTTATATACAGTATTAAAGGAATATTGCCTCTTTGAAGTGGCATCACATTTAAAGTCTCAAACTTATTAGTGTATATTATATTCAGAAGTTGGACCAGGTGCTATGACTAAAGAATAGAGTCTCTATATAAGACGATATATCCATTAAACTAAATATTATTGAAACATGCTTGTTTAATAGATTATTACTTAGTTTTATAGATTTATTAGATTATAGAGGGATTCTGTTGTATAGTTATGACACCAGGTAAGTACAATGATGAACAAAGACTCATTTTAACCAAGTTTAAAAATTTCAATTTTTGGTCATCCTATGAGGTAGTAGGCCTATTTTTAAGGTAGCTGACGAAGGATCTATGAAAACAGTTTCATATCGTAGTAAATACTTAAAGTGAAAAACCTTGTAATTTCATCGTAATCGTATATTGTATTGAGAATACTTTCTCAACATTACAATGTTTTGCATATGAGTATTTTTTAATATATTGGATATTACCCAGCGGGATATCATGTTTGTATAATGTATAACTGTCTCTTATAGCTATCAATGTCAACAAATTTATCAAATTTTATAAAGAATTTCCGGAGATTGAAATTTAATTTGTTTTAAAAACAATGCGTTATAATAAGATTATAGCAACTGTTTAAATTTTAAAACGACACATAATATAAATAATATAAAGGCATAAGGTATTTCTATGAGATAAAGATAAATTACGATTATATTACAAGTCATATAATGATCTGTATGATCCCTTTGTGGCGTAAGGCGTTCCAGAAAGGTGTGTATTGTATGCCTATTACTCTGAGAAAACAGCCACAGGCGGACTACGTTACGTTGTGGAAGTTTTTGGGCTTCAACTTGAGATATCAAAGCTAAAAGGTTGAAGAGTGAACATTGGCCTATTGCCGAGTTATAGATATAGGCCTACTAAATTACGAAGATACTTGTGTGTCAAGTATCACCGAGAGAAAATTGACAAAGACGACTCGTCTTTATTAGAGACTCTTCCATATAGGAAAGACATATATAGAAATTGAAAGAGACATTCTAAGTAATTTTTGAAGGAATTACGCAATTTTCGTACATTTCTAGTACTTCAGAAGACTATTTGCATAAAGACTCAAATCAATCACCAAAATGGCGAATCTGTACCATTAAAAGGAAATCGAATATTTTAATATTCAATTTTGTAGAATTCGATTTTCTTTAAAACGAAGGCCTACGTGCCTAAATGAATGATTTAAACAAATTTAAGGTCGACTGGTTAATGCATATGAATGAATTTTGAACTAACTGCAAGTAAACAACGAATAATAATAGATACACTGCATAAAAGATGTAAACACCCAGTATTGCATTATACCCAAGAAATATGAATATCATCAGTGTGTATAATGGAGACCGTGTCGGTATGTTTGTTAATAAGAATACAAACTTATTAATATTCATCGTCAGGGTTCCTATCTTCTTATATAAATGAATAACTGAATAAAACATTGTGTTTGGCGTGTGTCATGTGTGTTTGTGAGCTTATCATGTCTTATGTATTTTGTCAGAATGCCAACAGACACGATAGCGGTGGGTCACAACTGATCCCAAATTCATTTATTGACATTTCGATCCTGAGAGATCGATTATTGAATAAATTATAATATCATTGATGGCATTTGCCTAAATTTTGAATAGTTCACATTCATTTTATTATGTTTGTTGTTAACATCACATGGAAGTAATTAAATACAGTTTAAGCTAAATCTGACTATAATACTATTGGTCATCTAGTATTACGACATGGTTCATACGTCTTAAAGGGATACATTCGTCTTGATATTTGTTTTACCATCTCATTAAACGATTTTCCCTATCTGTTGATCTTTTTCGAATAAAATTGCTGAGACATGACCAAACTGACATGGATAGTAAATATTTATGTTGAGAAAATACGACTTAAAAAATAAAGAACTGAAGGTCTATGATATGTAAGAAAGAAAGAGAGAAAGAGAGCATAAAGAAACAAGTTTGATTTACAAGGATAAAAACTGATGTTCACAAACGATCCTTTCTACAAACTGCTCCTTGGCCAAACCTCATCGATCTTTCCTGGATTATCCGTACCCATTTACACCCACTGGATCGACTGTTAATGACATATTTTTCTGAGTTTGGGTGGAAAATGATAACTAAATTTTATTGACAATAAATCCACCCTTATCTTCAAATCTTACATTTTTATGACCACTTATTGTACAATATATTATACTACTTAGTACATTGTGCAGTAAAATCCATCTTCATGGAAGATGAACTGCGTCTTATACCTTGACTGCAATAGTCAAATTTCTTGTATCACGGAAGTTTGTAAATGCAGCGATTTGTACGGTAATGAATAAAGTCAACCAGAGCACCGATATCAAGTGGGTAAACAATAAACTGTAATGTTTACAGGGTACCGATTCGTTGTATTCGGTGGCGTACAATCCAATAAAATCGTTGTATTCCGTGATACAAAAAAGGTGGCTATCGTAATCAAGGTATAAGACGTAGTTCTTCGTAATAGCTTCAAATTGTGAAGTGCAGTACTGCCTTTAACTTGATTGCCCATCACAAAGTTCTACAGAGACGATAATAATATGAAGCTGCCATTAAAGAGATATATTTCTATATAATTAGATATTGCTCTAAATAATGATTATCAATATTACATTCTCTAGGGTTGGTTGCTTCCCATGCTGTCAATAAAAGGTCAGCTTCTCCAACAGATAGACCAAGTTGTCCTGGAACTGGAGTAAGTTAAATTCGCCTGTCCATATTGTCTTGATCAGTGCTTCCCAACCCCAGTGAGATCATTCCTCCCCGGAAGGAGTTCTTCCAAATATAATTCCTCCCCAAAATAAATCAGTCATTTTGAAACGTATTTCACTCTTATATTAAAATATATTCCACGTTTAACGATGAATTGATATAAAATGGATATAAAACCGAATGTTCTTTCACGATTTTCTTTATGTCTTGGGTGAATGATGTCATGGTCGTAGATCATCTTGCTTTCCTTTTCCTCCCCGGTCCGACGATTCCTCCTTTGTTGAGAAGCACTGATCTTTTATTACAATTGAAATGTAGTTCGCTTTTCCATGTCAACTCCTTTACTGCTTCACGATGACCATGCGCTGGTACGGAATCCATGTCTTTTAAACGAATTCTGGCAGCTGAATTTTGTCACGGTAAAAATAAAAAAGCACTATCTGGAATAACTTTGATAACGATTGATAAACTCTTCAGAACTACAGGTAGAATGATTTGACGTGATCTGATTCTGTTTGTAGACTCCACCACCAACACGAGTAGATACTACATCTCGACTAGCTGCTTTGAGACAGCAGATGACAGCTAATGATGTTGATGTCTATATCATTCCATCTGAAGATGCACACCAGGTTAGTATTATTCATATTTCGCTGATATAAAGTCATCACACTCCTAGAACAATGGTAGTGTATAAACTTTATAGGACATATAGCAATGATCACGGATAAAGATGCATACATAATATATCGATATATTTTGTCACTTTAACAAGGCAGTTTTCTGTGTATGGAATGGGTTTCCGTGGTTTAACCAAGGTCACTTTGTGACAGGAGACAGTATAATCTTGAACCTCTTATTCAAGGGTAACATTACCCTTTTTTCACCCGATTAGATTTGATCATACACTTTGTAATGAGTAACCCGCAGAACAAATATATATTTAAAATCTAAAAACATGTTCTTATCCAATCTTATTTTGGTATCTTTTAGAGTGAATACCCACCATCTTACGATAAACGAAGAACTTATATCTCAGGTCTATCTGGATCAGCTGGTAAAATAATTTTCTTCTGAATTTATATGCTCATCAAACACCTTATATAGTGGTCATTGTTGATTTCGTAGTATTGGTCGCATTTGGCTGTGCTTTATAGACACCCAGAATGGTGCAGCGAGCTGAGAAAAAAAATTCCACAGAACGTGGCATTTGAGCATTTGAACTGAATAATGTGAATAATATATAATAATATAATGCATTTCTAGAGCGACTTCAATCCAGTAAATAATACTGCTCCTTGTAAAGTAAAAGTAAAATGATTTATGCTATATTTATTTATCAGGTAGAGCAGTAGTTACACAATCTAAAGCTGCTTTATGGACTGATGGTAGATATTATTTACAAGCTGAAGATGAACTAGATTGTAATTGGATTCTCATGAAACAAAGTAAGGAACAAAGTTATCATATCCATCTTTTCGCTTTGATATGTTTCTTTGCTTGGAATCTGGTTATTGTCTTTTTATGACTTGTAATCTTTGTTCCACTTCTGGTACAATTGTCCCAATTTCTCGGGATTTGTGATGCCACAATGCTTCAAATAGGGCAGCTTAATGCAATGATAGATCCCATGACGCGACTAATCAACATTGTAAAGCTAAAAATATCAAATCTTTGTTTGTTTGTAAAAAAACAAACTGCATATATAGAAATCTGGTAATGCCTTTTAACGTCCATGCCATACACATGAAAAGGAAATAAATGTCACATTTTCTCCCTTCGAATTAGACAGTAAAAACAAAAACACATAGCCACAATATCATCATCATTAACTCATCTCGATTTCAAGTCCTAGTTTGGCAGTTAACCTCTCTATATCATAATAATGTTTTGTTAATATTGAATTCTAGGCGTTGAAGGTGTACCCTCTATCACTGAATGGTTATTAACAGAACTGAAAAATAGTCCCAGTAAAAAAGTTGGTGCCAGTCCATTTCTTATGAGCAGCAGTAAGTAGGATTAATGGACATTCAAAATCAACTTGTATTATGAATAATACAGCCAAGACATAAAGAATACATTTTAGAATAACTTATTACACAATATTTATTTGTTTGTTTGAATTTGCATTGGCTTGAAAATTTGAAAATATTTTCGCTTTCATAATTAATTTAGTATGTATGAAATCTTATGGATCCATTTGCAGATTCCTGGTCAAAATATGTCGAAGCTTTCAAAAATTCTGGTATAACTATGAAATCCGTACCAAATGATCTAATTGATGCCATCTGGACATCAGATAGACCTGAAAAACCAGATTCACCAATTAATGCCTTACCGTTAGATTTCTCGGGTAGGTATTTTTGTCGTCACGTTATGATAATACGGTTAACATTGTCCGTTGACCTTGAGCTCATCCGCATGTCAATGAACATTGACAAATTTGATGAGATTTGACTTGGTGAGGACTTTTCATGGCAAATGTAGACACAGAAAATTAAAATGTGTTTTATTTTCAAGGGAAATCATGGCAGAATAAAATTGAAGAATTAAGACAAGATATGACAGATAAAAGTGCAGATGCTTTTATTGTTACTAGTTTAGATGAAACTGCATGTAAGTTTACTTTCAATCATTCCTTTCCCTTTTCTATTGTGTACATCTGTACATAACTGGCATAACAAAATCTTCCATTTACATCTTTTATCATATTACAAAGTATATCATCCCTTCCAAATTAAAATAAAGTGAACATAAAAAAAAAATTGAGTGAACATAATTCCAAGAAAAATTTTGTCAGATCAATGAGCACAAATGTAGAAACCTGCAGAAAGCACGAAAGGAATGTGTTCTATTTCAGGGCTATTCAATATGAGAGCGAATGATATTTTATATAACCCGTTTGTTGTTTCTTATGCAATAGTAGAAATGGACAAGATCAGGTGAGATTGGAATTTTTAATTTTTATAATATTTTTGCCATCTTATCTTTTATATCTTATTATTATATCTTTACAATCCCCGAATGAATAAATGAAAGAGTGAATAAATGATTAAAAATCTATTTGTCTTGTTTAGGCTATATCTTATAAATTCTCTTAACAAATTGACCCAAACTCCGACTGATGACCAGACCAAGGAGAAACTATCCGAACATCTGAATACAAATACCGACGGAACGTGTACTGAAAAAACTGGTCTTTGTGTCAATGTGAGTATTTTTAAACCTTGTTTTATTCATACCCAAGCGAGTACAACTATTGTCTCATTACCTTTCCCCGAGGACAATATCGCCAAAAGACTTATTAAAGGGACAGATTCGATTTTCGTGAAGTCTTAGATCTTCTGAAGACTAATTACTTATATTCAAGACCATGGCGAACCATGTCCTTTAAGTAGTATGTACTTGACATTTTCTCCATCTACAGGTATTGGAATATAACCAAACCAATGTTGTTAAAGATATCCAAACATTGGCAAATTCAGCCGAAAAGAAAATATGGGTAACATTGTTAAGTAGTCAAGGTATTTTTGAAGCGATTCCAGAGGTATGTTAATTATTTATTATATTTCTCGTCAACGCTACCAAAACCAGTTTTCTCTCTTACAAATACTCATCGTATTCCGTAAATTAAAAAAACTTACACACGAATAACATAATATAACTACTTAATTATGTTCTTTCTGTACATTCTCCATTTCACCAGGATCATTTATTTGATTTAATCATGATAGCGTTCGAATATTAATCCTGGTAACTATAATACTACAATAGTTTAAACATGATTTATTTACTAACTGCCAATAGCCGGATGATAGATCAAATATAGAAACACACTATTTTATGAGTAATTTCAAAATCCACAAATCTGCGCATTTATATAAATGTTTTGACTTTGTTAAGTTAACTTACTAATTATGAAATCTTTACAAATTCGTGGGGTAAATTATGTACTGGTTGTAGAATAAGAGAATTGACAAAGGTTACGGAATTCTGAATATGAACAAAAATCACTCACTTACATTTATGAATATTTCAGACACAAGTTATTCAAGCTAGATCAACAGTAGCTTTACATAAATCGATGAAAAATGCAGTTGAGAGGCAAGGAATGCAAACCTCTCACGTAAGTTGGATTTTTATTGAAATATATAATAGTAGAAATGCATAGTCTTAGTATCAATACTAAAAAACATGGCGTTGTATATTTTACAGATTCGTGATGCTGTGGCTTTGATAAAATTCATGGCTAAATTAGAAAGAGAAGTAAAAGAAGGAAAACATTGGACAGAAGTTTCAGCTGCTGTCGACCTTAAAAAATACAGAGCGTAGGTTACTTATCTATCTATTTATTCCTTGTTTAAGATGCAGTGGTTGCTGCAAAAGGGACCATGACACCTTCCAAAGGCCAAAGAATGCATTTTGTTGGAACTATGTATTATGCCATTGCAAACATGTAATGGTATTGAAAGAATACTCTTATAAAATGCAGGATTCGGGCCCTTTATTTTCATTTTGTCATGAGCGCCCACCTAGAATGGATTCGAAAGTGATTTGGCGATAACCCCCTCCTATACAAAGATGTTTGTATGTACATGTATTCATATTTTCATTCATTCATTTTATTGTTCCAGTGCTGAAGAATTTAGTCGAGGGTTGAGTTTTCCAAGTATATCAGGATCAGGTTCTAATGGTGCCATTATACACTACACAGCTTCAAATGCTACTGATAAAAAAATAACAACAGAAGAAATGTATTTATTAGATTCTGGAGGACAATATCTGTAAGATATCTTTCGCTTTTCTCATTTCGGCCTCTGAAAAGCTTTGATTTAATGTGTTGTTCGAAAGTACCTGAACTTTTTTACATGCCTATTCCACATAATATGTTAATTAGTTAGACAAAGATCGTGTATGCTTTTGTACTCCCTTATAGTGACGGTACTACAGATGTTACAAGAACTTTCCATTTTGGAACACCTACTGCTTATGAAAAGGTTGGTGGCTCGATTCTATATTATTTTATTCTAGGAAAGCTGATCTAAACATTAATATTGTAACAGTAAGTGCTTGAGATATTGCAATGAAGATTTTATATAAACAACACAATAAAACAACACATAAGACACACAAAGAAACCTAACTATAATCACCAAGAAAACTGATCTGTACAGCGGCTTCTTGATTTTCCTTTCAGCTAAACATTAAGCTTGATTCTAATTTTAAACCCATCATTTGTTTAGGAATGTTATACCAGAGTTTTGATGGGACATATAGATTTGGCAATGTTAAAATGGCCACGTGGATTGTATGGTAAGTGAAAATATGTCTTGTGCCAAATAGTATTCCAAATACTAGTAAATATCGTATAAGGATTAGTTTGATCATATTATAATTACGTATAGTAATAAAAACCTGTTGTGACCATTTCACTATCGGCAGAGAGAAAAACAATGCAAAAGTGTGTAAAGGGAGACAACCAATCAGTAGTACGATTGAATACGAATACGATTGAACACATCATCTCAAAATGAATTATTAGAAAATGAAATGAAATGAATGGAGTTTTAAGTCTTACTTTTCTGGACCATGTGGGCTAATGAAGACTGAAGACTGAACCCTGAAGATTAGCGAGCGAGCGTCTAACTCACTGAGCCACAAAGCGAATTATTAGAAATCATGTCAAATGTTCGTGATTGGCCTTTTGGTTACGGGTCGCAGATTTCAGATAACATAAATTTATATACTTAATATTTTCAAAGTCTGGCATGTTTAAAATTGACTCAAACTTATATCTTTTAACAGGTCGTGATATTGATGCTGTGGCAAGAAAACCACTATGGGATGTTGGTTTGATATATCGTCATGGTACTGGTCATGGAATCGGTGCTTATCTCAGCGTTCATGAAGGCCCTGGTAGAATTTCCATTGCACATGCAGTTAATCCAAATGATGAACCGTTAGACGAACATATGTTTTTCTCTGATGGTATGTGGTCTTTCATATCATTATGATTTCAGATCGCACTTTATTTTTAATTCATATAATTCTCTGGTGGATAGGTGGATATTATCAAAAAGTCTCTGTCCATAAAGCATCACAGCAGCCTAAAGTGAATCGTGTTCACAGTTCAGGAATGAGATCGTCATTAAGACCTTGTATTTGTTAATCGAACGTTAAATTGTCAGTCTGAATAGCTTGTTTTGTATTATAGAACCGGGTTATTACGAGGATGGTAAATTTGGTATACGATTAGAAACTATTGTAATGGTTGAGAAAAAAGAAACCAAGGTAAATATATAAATATTTTAGAGAATCAAATGATCTACCTGGACAGACTTGTTGTCTTGCAGTTCAATCGAGTTTCAATAGTGTTACAGATCCCTCGATTTTGTAACACAGTTTGTAAATTGGAGTACTGTCCTGTATTTGGTCGTCTTTAATAAAACAATATCATGCTTGAAACTAGATATAAGAATTGCTAGATTTTCCATAAAATATTTCAGCTTTATCGTGCAAAAAAACACAGTTTCAACTTATCTCCCTTGTTTTATTTCAGTATGACTTTCCTGATACTCAGATGTTAGGTTTTACAGAAATAACTTTGGTACCATACGAACCTAATCTGATAAACTTCGACATGTTATCCGAAGAACAGGTAAATAAAAAATAGATCTCAAACAGGAATGTTTCAAAGGTTTCCTAGTTTACTTTCTTTACTTTACTTTACTTATCCTGTAGAAAAAACCATAGGCCTACTTATTCCCCAGACCAATCGAATGTATTGCTATAAACGATTTTTATTCATGTGCAACGCGTTCCATTTCACTCGTTTACATGGTGTCTATTGATCTCACCCAAGATGGCGGAGCCAAAGCCAAAGCCCCTCGTAGCCCAGAAAGCAAATTTTTCGGGCAAAAATCTCGTAACTAGTTTGGAAATTTGGGAAATCTCGGACGCAAACCCGGCTCCGCCACTGCCAAGATGTGATGATTTTCATGATCATGCTTGTAGACTAAGCATCTCTAATGACCCGGGTCAAGCGTCTAGTATAAGTAGAAATCGACTGTCATGGGGAGATCTGGTTTTTTGGGGGCCAAGCAGAAAACCACTAAGTAATTTTATACATGCTGCATCATGAGATTATATCTGTTTTTTAGGTTGGTTGGTTAAATGCATACCATGTCCGAGTTGAGAAAGAGGTCGGACCCAAATTGACAGGTGAAGCCAAAGAGTGGATGGAACAGAGAACCAAGATGGTTGTGAAGACAAGTGATGGTGTTCACATGTTACCGTCCGTGACAGTCATCCTACTGACTACATTACTTACTATCTTCACACAAACTTTTATTACTTTATAACATTTTATAATATTTTTATAACAACTCTTTCACTAATCATTTCAATCACAGATATCGTAAAGGGGTTTTCTGTCATTCTAAATTTTGAATAGAGGGGCATCACCGAATTATTCTAAAATTATAAAAGTCAAAAAATGAAGAATTGATTTAAGGATGTCCGTCACCTGAAGGACAAAAGGTTCTATCTATAAAACTAAGACAACCTCGCTCGTTTTTAAATTCTTTATATATTTTCATCCCATTATGTTTAAGTTTCTAAAAATGCACTACCCCAAAAACGCCTAACGCCTTCTTGAAAAACGATTTCGCTTTGGCAGATTTCATCTATTGGCTTGACATGTTTAGAATATAGCAAACCATAACTTGCAATGTCCTCTATTCGTTGTAAAACAGAACTCTAACCTCTTTACAACTTTCAAGTCTGATAAAAACTGGTAAGAAACTTGCCGACTCCGATAGTGGTTGGTTAGCTGGTGGACCTTCGTAAGTCAGTAAGTTTCAGACCAGGTAAATGCTTGTCTTGGGTTCTTAATCGCAATAATTATACAATTTTGTACATTAAGATATATTTTGTATTTCCACAAAGACTATATATTATTTTATGTGTATCAAATAATTTCCTCCTTCTTTATAAATTATACTGATCTAAATTTTTATAGAATGATATGTTTTATTATAATAAACAAAAACGACCATCCTCACATCCACAGATACGTAGGTTCACTGTGGACATGCCAACTATAATGTGGTTTGTGGTAGGGTGGGGGGTTTATATTAAATAATGAAGACTACCCCAACAATGCCAACTTTTTTTTTAGCTTCTATCATCCAGTCCCTCTTTGTATAACGTAGACAGGTATAGTCTGGGCCTCAGAGACTAACATATTGTAGCAATCTTTAAATACTTTAATCTGAACAGCATGCAGTATCAGTAATCTTATTACTCTTATTACAGATATATACAAATTATAACTAAAATTTAACTATGACTAGATAAAACTTCAAATTTAAATGTCAGTATAAAGTGGTTCCTTCCTATTCTCTGGTACCTAGTTCGAACAATGGTTGACTCGTCATCGGTCGAAATTTAATTATCAAAGACTAAACTATAATCAACAGATTATAGAATAGCATCATACACATGTTCTTGTAGCAACGGTTAATAAATATTGACAATATCTACCGTTGATAGAGGGACATGACTGATACCAGAATCAGTTTGAGGATCACTACAAGAGGACTGATACTATATTACATTGACATACCTGTTTAAAATATTTTTGAACCAGGTGTCTGATCTATATACAATTAAATTGGTGGGCTTTTTTTAAGGATCATGAAGTAGGCCTACACCGTTGTCAAGTACCAAGTTTTTTTTATATACAACAAAAATATGTATTTTGTATCTGAAATTTCTTGAATCCAGCAAACAATATTCCTTACAAAAGAAACTTCGCTGGAAAATATAATAAGACTGATTTAAAATCAATTTGAGAAGAAAATAAAAAAAAGGTAAGCGTAGCTAGTGTATTTATCTACCAGTCATAGTAAGACATTGGATCCTATCTATTGCTCTCTCTAAATATTCTAATTCCCCTTTCAGATCTCTGGCAACACTATATAACATCTCTTTACTGTTCAGTTTCTGCACTGTTTGTGTATAGGAACAATAACGAACTTCGTATGGTCTTTTAATGGTCGCCGAATAATTCCTGAAATGAGAAGTTAGTTGTTAGTTGTAGTTCATAATCATTTTACAAATTTCGGTTCCGGAAAATATTTGACTTTTCCTTTATTGCCCATTAATAAATTCAACAATATTCTGTTAAAAACGGCGACAGGAATACGAACTGCGGAAATGAATGTTAATTTCCTGTTAAAATTCGATCAATTTGTTATTTGAAGCAATTGAAATATGTTTACTAATTGCAAACCTCATGATATATAGATCAGTTAAAGGGATTATAAATAGGTTTTCTTCAGATTAGTCTACAATCCAATTTCTTACAATTGAAATTAATGCTGACGTTTAGTTTTGTATCAATAGAAATTTATATAATAATTGACCCTTTAAAGTAATTTTGCTGGTCTTCTCGACAATGCCTACAAAATATGTAGAACCGAACCGTACCTCATCTCAATCTTTGACACTTTATCTCCGTGGCGGACCTGAAAGAAAGCACCTTGCCCTAACAGAGAGAGAAATATTTGAAATACCGACTTAAAGTTAATTCTATCGGAATAAGATATGTGGAGAAGCATAAATTCAGGGTCGGAATAAAGATGAAAGCTGTTTTAGTAAGATAAACAGTATTTTTTTCTACCTTTATCCTTAAAAATAACGAACTTAAAAAGTCGATGAGTTATTTTGATAAAAATGTTAAATAACGATAGAAATATCACAACGTAACTAATTAGAGTTTCATGTTGGCGGAACTTCGTCAAATATAAACTTATATTGTTACAATAGAATCGATATTTAGTAATGGTTTAGTTCTCTATCAACTCAATATGTTTTTAATGTTACCTGGAAAGAACTCGAGAAATTCCTATATTCAATATCAAATTGAATCAATGTATGGTTCAATAATTCCAACATGACTTTTAATTTTTATAATTGGCTTTAATTGCATGAAATGTTGGTGTTTTATATGTAATTTATCAGTTTATTTCAGTTCAATACTTGGCCCACGCAGTCCGCTTTAAGTATTGTTCGATGAGGTAGAAAAATCACTTTCTAATGCTTGTAAAATGTTATGTACTGGACACAGAATAACAATTAGCATCATATTTGAAAGCATTGGCTTTTAATAATTATTAGTTCTGGAAGAAAGCCTAACGCTATGTTCAGATCAAAAATCAATGCTTGGGCAGTAAAAAACAGATATAGCAATTTATCTCCATTTTAACAAAAGTTAATTTCTCAGGCCTTAGGCAACGCATTAAATGCATGCATATCGTTATAAATCTAAACGGATGTCCCGTAGAGTACATATATTGATAATATTGATGATATCGTTTTGTGAATAGTAGTTAGTAAAAGCCTTGACATATTTTTATATAAGGAGAAGAACTTATTTATGTGTATTTATACAAGTATATCATACTCTGAAAACAACTTAAGCGACGATCTCTCTCTGCAGAATTACAGGCCCACAGTCGATTGTTCGGATTGCATGTAATATATCCGAGGGAGCAATGTGTATGGTGTTTAATTACAGTAATGGAATTGGTCGGCTGTCCGAATTTTTTGCCCCCCTGTAGCTACTGGCCTGCAGAACTGGCACCACTTGTGAGCCTTAAGCGACGATGCATCTTGATTTCCTTATAGAACATGTACTGTCAGGTCTTTCTAAATATAAATACCTCATTTTATCCATCATATCTTCAAATGATTCCACGACAAAATAAAGTGGTTGAAGATCTTCGTCAGTGTACTCTTGGACAGCAGTTTTCAGTGGATCAAATGGTCGGCGCTCTGGTTTATCACCAAGAGCATGTAATAATTCACCATAGGATGATAAGATTCCAGCACCGTACGCTCTGAGTTGTCCCGCTTGTTTACATATACCGAACTCTACTGTGAACCAATATAACTGTAAATGACACCACAAATACTGTCAGATTACATGAGGACGATAGACAAGAAATTCTCCTAACGACCTTATTTTTCAATTCTACGGTTAACATTATAATTGAGAAATACCTAAAATGACGAAACCCAGGTCCTACTACTAGCGCGCAAACTAAATCTAAATTCTGGTAAATTCTGGCTTTTGCCACTACGTCCTTACCGTAGCAAACTTTTCAATATCTTCGTCTGAAGCTCCTAAAGAATTCAAACCGAGTTCATGTGAAAACTGGGCAAATCCTGGATCAGCTAACATAGGAACGTGACCCAACAATTCGTGAACACAGTCTCTGCAAAATAACAGGCATCAAAGTTTATTTTATCCACATAAAGAGTAGTGTTGCAGGTTTCTTTTGTACTGAGCCACAAATCTGTTGGTAGTGTGCTTCATTTTACGTAAGTCAGAGTTGTATTAAGCAAGGGGGCGGGGGAATTCTAAGAAATGACCGCTTACTAAAGTTGCATAATAACCTTAATTATCACCTCTGTGTTAGATGTGTGACATTTGCATATCTGATACTACATGATCTGGATCCAAAAGATGTTAATCTTCAGCAATGATATGGATCTAACCTATTTTGATTTAATTAAATTTGAACTAACTTACGGTTCTGGGGAGTGGTCTGGTTTAGAGCCATGACGAACATACTGGGTACATTGAAATACTCGGAATGCCAGCGAGGCCAGGAAATCTCTTGCGCTCAATAATCCTGATACTGGGCGTAGTTGGAAACCAGTCTTTCCTGAAAGATATTCCAAAAGTAGACATTTAACTATTTTTTGGTGGCTATTTTGTTCAAAGTGGTTCACGACGATATGATTTTAAATGAAGATGGAGTAAGGGTTGGGTAGGGTTAGGGTAGGGTTACACGGCACTGATGTTGAAGGTCTATACAGTCAATCTTGTACGAACGCGGTCAGTAATATTCAGCGTGATCATTCAATCAACTGCCAGTAAAATTCTCCTAATGCATACTTTGTTAGCACACTTCTGGGATATTGGTTTCAATTGCATGCAATTGGTAATTAAATCAAATACCCGCTAAGCTACTAAACTATTGTTTGGAATAAAATGATAAGAAAGCATTTCCTATACAAGTTTTTACTTCAGGGTTCATAATCTTTTAACTTACGTTTAAGAAAATTGGAAACATCTTCTAGTTGTGGTATTCTATCAGGACTGTACCCACATTCATCTTCTAATAATTGAAATATATCTCTATGTGTTTTACAAGCATGTGTTGGAAATAAAACCTTCAACTGTCTGTAAACGTGACCCCTGAAATAAAATTCGATTTTTTAAGAGTTTTGAATGGTATTCATCGTTTTGTAATCTAATATGACATGATATGATATGCTCTCAAATGCTCAATAACTTGAAAATTTTATGAAAGGACAGCTTCTGTTGGCTCCAGGGGGATAGCTGACCAATAGCTGGATTTGGTCGACCAAAAACCCGACGACCAAAAACCCATTACAATCACCAGTTGAAGTCATTTAATTGAATGAGAAACTGCGACAATTCAGTCGATTACTCTCAGCAAAAATCTTTTGTCCAGTTTTTCCATCTAGAAAGAATATGTAATAGTTCGGACGTGTTGAAGATCAAACACAATATATAGGTCTGGCATGTCCTGCAGTGAATTAACTAGACCAATGGCGGCCCGTGGACTTAATTGGGTTATGGGGATCCTCCCTGGGAAATTTTGTTTAACATATGCTCTCCTGCATTCTTCTATGCATCCCTCTGTATGTGAATTCAATGCCTGTTAAATATTTACAGTCTGTAACTAATGCTAATTTACTCATTTATGTTTTTTAGGGTTGGGACCAGAGGACTTGGTTCCACCAGTCCATATGATAGATGAGCAACTGATGTCCAGAAAACTTACCACGTAGCAATATCTTCACCTGTATAATCTACTCTAGGAATCGGGTCACCACTGAAAATATATAGTTTGATTTATGACTACTGCGATATCGGTGAATAATTGGGTATTTGCGTTTGATAAAGATCTGAATGTCTTCTGTCATGCATTGCAATTTAGATAATAGTTTATGTAATTGTAGTAAAGTCAAGTTAATTACATTAGTTCTGTACACATGTCGACTTAACGATAATACCCAAAGTAGAAAAGTAAATTAGCCTAACTTATTCTGCCATTTTCGTGAACACGGACAATATAGCGGACTGAAGGGTCAGACCACATATCGTGTCCAAACCACGTCATACTTTCTCGGTTGATAAGACCATGTCAAAACCCGTATTCGTGATACGATGCAGACCACCTAACAGAGTCCGAGGGCCCAGGAAACCCACCGGTCCGAAGATCGAGATCTGCTCGGTACGCCCCTGTTTCAAAGGATGTAAATTCTCATGAGGACTGTTTCCGATTTACCCACTCATTTATTGGTCTTGTGAAATGGAATGTTAGCAAGTTGGTGCTTGAAGCTACTTACTGTCTGTAATCAAAAGCTATATCTGCTATTTTCTGACGACGAGCTCTGTATGCTTTGTCAGTGAATCCCTAAAATATAAACAAAGAAAATTATCAAAAACATTTCCAAATGATATGAAAGAGAATTAGTGTCAGATATTCAGCTAATTTGTGTCTGACACATTAGCACTATACCGAGGCAAATCATCGTATAAGAGATGATATACAGGAGTGGTTGTCCGAAACTAAATAGTGCTCATCACATTGACGTTGTATCAACCGATCGATTTAACCGCTGAATATAAACCACACTATATGTAGAGTCCATGGAATGAACTGTTCAAATGAACTCTGTGGTCTCTAATTTGATACTTACTGGGTGGTCAGAATCCAGCTCTGGTTCAAATTTAGTAACAAGATGGGTACATTTATCTAATTCTGAAATATGTGTTGGAAACCATGTATCTGGAACGAAGTAAAAAAAAATCAAAAACTGATACATTGACCAAATATTCCCTCAACATTATTTTCCAACTCATGAAAACGTGAATTATTCATTGGAAACAGCAACTGATTTGACCAGAAACAATGAGAGAACCCATCTTTAATGAAAATCGCCATACCTTTTTGGTCTTCTGGGCTAGATTCGCTGATAATCTCAACGTTTGAAACTTTGGAATGTTTCTGAATATTATTGGTAGCCGATGTAACTCCATCTTTCGATCCAGAACATAGAAGAAATATTTCAGAATGTGCATCAGACTTTCGAGATTTTCTGGTTTCAATGTGTTTGATAGAAATTCTGTAATTCTGAAATGACAATAAGGACAGGTGTGATAAGGAACGTATAAGTGTTCCTTTTTTGAAATGAAGTCCTGCACCTTTCTGGATTAATGAGCACATCAACGCCAAACACTGAGCAACAATTTTCCCGGGACTTCGATCGATAGGTCTACTACTACTATGTCCGCTACTTTTCGATAAGCTAATGGGGTTTCGAACAACCAGACGCTACTTAAGTCAACCCTTCAACGTGCAACACTGACAATAGGAAAACCCATACGAAACTACGTATGGTTCTTACATGGAAATGTGTTATTTTCATGTAAAACCATATGTAGTTTCGTATGTTGGAAGCCATGATTGTTATTATCAAGAACAAATCAAAGGCGACTGAAAATTGCAAACGCACTTTATCTATACACGTTTTATAAAGAGAAGGATTAATTCCTGAAATCTGCTGAAAGCAAATTACACCTATAGCATTTCCATTACCCAACGTTGTATCTAGTTGTAGCAGTGGATGGGATATTAAAGTTTTTATATTGAATTGTGATTAAATCAGTGATAAAGGCGGGAGTTAATCTGGCGTGTTTGAAAAAAATAAAGTCTCGATTTAACTCGGCTTAGATCCGAGTGTGAAGCTGTGTACCGGAAGTTCTATGACGTTTGAACAAGATTGACTAATGCGTTTTACTATTCAAGTATTTGATACAATTAAGCTTATTGAAGAGTTTATAATAGGGTCATGATTTTCTGATATATCACGTGGTAAAAATAAGCTGATGTCTATGAATAAAATGTATCAATATTATCCCATACTGGTTTATCATTTAGATAGGAACTTCAACATTGTCTTCCTGATCTGAATGAAAATTAACGGTGAATTCAAAATTGGTTTTGTTTTTTTGAACAATTTCAGAAAAATCCACGAAAATCTACATCCTGCGTTATAGAAAGCCACGTGGTTTCTACACTGATCCGTTTGGAGGTCAAATCGTCCATGCTATATCAATGTTCAGGTCCATTTCCGTTACAATTCTTAGCAATATCAACTCTTGATGCTTGCAATGTACTGGGAAAATTCATTAACAACGTGTTATAAATGATTGACTATAGATCAAACTATAAACACAAAGCAGATGACTGATGACAGCATCTTCTGGAAATTGCAAAAGAATATCACATCAAACTTTGTTGATTATGTTTTCCCGAAGAAATTTTATTTTAATGCGACGTTAAAACGATGTGACTCAAGAACAATTTTAGAAAGTGAGATTTAACATTAATACCAATATGGCGTTTACGTTTGTCAATATGTACGAACGACCTTCAAAATTATAAAATCTCCTATACGAGTACTGTATAAATATAGACATGGCGAATTGACGTTATTCACGCCATCCAGAAAAAGATGGAGACAATTTTCACCGGAAGCTCTTAATCGATTGTATTATTGCGCCGCGTATTGACGACGATAACTTGAGAAAGTCGACCAAAAGGGAAACGGAATTCGCGCTTCCGGTTCTTAAATAATGGAACCTGCCTCCATTATCAAGTAATTGCTTCAAGTCTAAAGTGAATTCCAGCCATTGAATGTCAGTGGAAATCGGAAATGAAAGTAAGGTGGTTAAGTATCAAAATGTGTCGTCATTTAACTCACATCAAACCACCATTTTTACTTTCTTCAAGCGTTATGAACCATTAAACATGTAACACTGATGCCCCCTCAAACTTCTAGACAAAACTTAATTTGGGCTAATTCAGTGTCTCAATTAATATATACTGTAGCAGACCACATCAACGTCAGCAAAATCTTTGTCCATTAGATTCGGGTCAGAAACATTCAGACAAGTGTCATTGCCGCAGAAACGTGGTCGTTATCTAGTGCGTGGTTTTATCTCATAATGTCATGACGATATTTCCAACCAAGAATCTTTTCATAACAAAAGTTTTGATCATTTGGCATAAATATAGTAACGTATAAGAATAAAAATTTCTCAATGTGAAACTATGCAAAGTAAACTGGATAACACAATAGTGTCAAGAAGCTCTGGATTTTCAAATAAAAGATAAAAAAAACTTTAATATGTTGACATTTTACATCGGTAACTTGAAATCTGTAGAAATTATTGATAATTCTCTCATCTTCAAATCTTAAAAATATGAAATTATTGTTCTTTATATAATAAGCACTCTTTTACTCTTGGAGTAATTCCTCATAGTATGACATTAATAAACCTATTGTTCCAGGAACTTGGCTATATTGACTGGAAAAAGGTCAATATTGGAGCTAAGTGGATGTATTTAAACCAAGTATTGTATCAAGTAGTAATCCAATAGTAAAGATTTATTATCGTTCTATATTTTTTGTATTGTGGCATCACGATTGTACATGCCTGTACTCATCAACTGTAGCAATTGTACTACAGAAAAAATTCTTATAGTGAAATTACGAAACTATTCTCTCATATACATGTAGTCTACTAACAAGTACCACTAGCATGTTACGTTGGCATTCTAGTAGCGGTAGATTCCATAAATATAGTCAAAATATTCTGAAGGACTGCAGTCTGGAAGAAACATTCAGGTAACAAACAGACAGCTTCAAAGAATGCAGTGTTCTAATGAGTCGGTTAAAGATAATACAGATTTAACTTCAAAGTCATCAAACAGGGGATTCTTCTGCTACCAATTCAAAATTGGTAGATCAAAAGCGTCCTTAAACGTTTCCATTGCAGACGGATCTTGAAAATTTAGATCGAAGTCTTAACATTTCATATTGTTGCATGGTGGTCACAATTCACTTATTACACAAGATAGTTTCGTTTGCACACGCCCACTATCGTGTCATGTCTGGTAGATGCGTGGTACTTTTTCATAACAAATTCCAGCTATGTAAAGTTATTTAAGTGATAAATGAAGTAATAATAGTAAAACTGAGGTAACCAAAGTAACATAATGTTAGAACAATATTGATATAGTTATATACTGAAATATGATATACAATTTAATGTCTTTATTCTCAATATTTTAACTTTATATTGGATATGATATTGACTACTTCCTATTCTCAAAGTGATAAAGCAACATTTTAGTCTGAACTGACTTTAGAATTATTTACTGATAAAATCATATTACACACTGCTAGAATGATCGATTGGAATCATCAAAGAAAAATATGTTTTCTACTCATGCACCTACGTGAAAATTTGGAGTTAACCACCGTTGTATACGTCTACCAACCAGTCTAATTAAAATTTTATTATAATTTCGTTTCGTTTTTCATATTTCGTCTCCATTGTAATCTAACGAGATTTAAACCAATCGAAAAAGAATTGACACGGACCTCGGAGTAAGCATATTAGCCAATGAGTAACGTATATATTATGTCAAATAAGTGAGTTACTTTCTGAATGAACAATTTCTTTCTACAGGGTGTCCAGTGTGGTGTGCGATGCAGGATTATCCACGCGGCATAATTTCCAGACTATTACCATGTTTATCCTCTTGTTATATTTAGTAGCAATAACCACATATCGAACACCGCACCGAACAACGCATACCTCTTCTGTTCGCACGTTAAGATGTCAAACCCACATACATATTCTTCCTTTCACTATATCTAAAGTTATACGTACCTCAAATAAACTGATAATGGGTGCCATATTACACACTCCATCCTTCATACCAATAACTAAAGCGAAGGTTAGGAGGGGTATTTTATCTGTTGAAGCAGCTACATCTCCATTCACAAATACATCTTCTTCTTCTTCAATAGAATCACCTTTACTTAAAAACTTTTCTCTCTTCTCAAACTCGAGATTAGATAGAGTCTCAAATTTAGCATCATCAATTAAACTCTTTCTTCTCCAACCTCCATGCTGAAAATAAATGATACACATAATAATATACATCAAAATAAATACTTCACTATACGACACAAATCATAACACTTCAGTGCAATGCAAGTGTTTGCTTGGAATATTATGGAATCGTGCTCAAGCATTTCAAAAGCGAGAAGTTGCCCTATGGAATGAGGATCTAAAGGGAATTAATTTCCGTTGCATCTTTTGATTCTTCAACTTGGTTATTTTCAATAAAAGTCAATGTTAATCGTTTGGAATGATCTGTTTCTCAATCTGTATTTCAATCGTTGTGGTGGTGCTAATTTCGGATTATTACTCTAGAAAAACAAATTGAATTGGAATGTAACTTCAGTGCGGTTTCGACTAAATTACTATTACTGCCCAGCAAAGTTTTCAGCCAATCAATTACACCGGTGTATTTGAAATCACAAAATTGCTTAAGACTTGCATAACATAAGTACAAAATTTTCAATGTAGAAAACTTTGAAATAACAAAATTGCTTATTTTGAGACAAATTGTAGAACTGATTGGCTGGCATAAAATATGACGTCATTGGATCAAAGCTAAACTGAATTTCATTAAACTAAACGAAAACAGTCTTCAGATCCCGGACCTATTGAGATAACCCATAAAAAGAAAAGGAAATGTGTTTAACTGTAATATAATTAAAGTTATATCTTGTGTATTGAGCTGTGAATAACTCAAAGTCAATACAGTCTGAATTAAAACAATAGTTTTAAAGAACATTAATTTATGTTCATTGAAGAGTAAAAAATAGACATTGATTTTCAAAGAATAACAGTAATATTGACCATATATATTGATTAAACTGCCTAAATTTGAACAAATTTCCATTGGGAGAATTACAATACATCCGAGACAGGTATGATTAAAATCATGTCTAAAACTATTAGGACACGGTACAACCAAGACTCTACAACTCTTTAACTAAATAAATGGGGTGGTTTATTAAACTCCTCTATATTCCCATTATTTGAAGAGGTTTAAATGTTGTCAATAATAAATTAGAAGCTATTACTTTTTATTTATTTTTCATTAGACAAGTGAGATATATGATGTGAGGACAGACCATTGAGAATTAGTATTTTGTTTTATATTTGAATTGGTCACCAATATTACCACCAGAGTTGATAATAGACTAATAGTGAACTTGATCTGGAGTCAATATTGACGAAATCTACTCTGATTTTATGAGAAATTTCAGTCGGTTATGGTTCTTCTCAAGTGGGTACCTGCTACGGTTAACGACCAAGACAGATTATTAAGACAACAAATGAAAATACTAAGGAAATAAGGGCAAAATTTGTACTAAATGACTGTTTTTTTTTTTTTTATTATTATTTTGTTCATCTTATAGGACAAGTCTAGTCCTTATATCTGGCCAGCAACATCATATTTGTCATCACCACCATCGAGATCGCACAAGCTTATGAACTGGGTCATCACCATCTTCATCATAATCAGTATTAGCAACAGCAACACCATCAGTGCCACCAGCACCATCATCAACATCGTGGTCGTCAACTTAATGGTCATGGTCGTCGTCATCACCGTCGTCACTATCATGGTAATCATTTTCAACACCAAAGCAAATGCTGCGGCTATGCATGCCTCTATTTTTAAAAAAAATATATTTTCATTTGCTTCAGTTGATGGTTATTTTTACGGAATGGGTAAAACATTGCCAAGTTACATGGTATTAGCAAATAGGACGTCACAATCAGGCAAAGCAGCTCTGGAATTATTGGGAGCAAAACGATGCTATAAGTGTTCTATAGTTACACATACTAATGAAATTTGCAGTGTTTGTATATGATAAATCAGATTATATGGTGTATGATTATGAAGTAATATTTAAGTAATAAGATATAAAGTAAATAATTCAAACTCAGATTGCCAATACAGATTATTTATTAATTACATGTATTTTACATTAGTTATTATTGTTTGATTGTTAAAGAACACAATATAGAATAGGCCTACATTGTGATGGTATTTTGAACGATAATTTGTTGATTGTCAAACAAGATCAAGGTATGTGGAAGTATTTTTTTTAAATACGGCACTGTTAAATGTTTACTAAAGATAATATTTTCCGATGCACCATCGAGAGACATTTTTAACAAAATTGAATTGATTCTTAAACGTCAAATGGAAATTTTTAATGAGTAAATCGACACATACCGCAACTTTAATTATTGCATATCATACGAAGAATTTCATCGATAACTCTGTATGTTTCTATTCTAGATTTTGCAAATAAATTCACATTTTGAGGACTTTGAACCCTTTAAAATTTAAAGATAGGTTCCCTTATTTTCATTGCTAATACTTATATGTATAGAAAGTAGAGGTGTTCTAATGACAAATGCCAGTTTGTCTCACTTGTCCATAATTAATTCATAATTAGCTAAACTAGCAGAGAATAACCAGCAGAATTCCAATGAGTGGCCGATGAAGAAAGGTCAAAAGGTCTTTTTTTGTTTATCCAGACTGTACATACTTGGATATTCATGATTGGTTAATTACGTGCAATAAGAAAATAATGATATGATTAAGGAATACAAGATAATTAATTAGAAACGCCAATAAATCAAATAGTTTGTTTAATTTGATACTAAAAAATAAGGAAACTCATCTTTAACTAAATAATCAAAATCACAAACAAATAGAGTACTCCAATCTTTGCAGGACTTCACTCTTTTATTATAATTATAGTTTGTCAGTCTATGGATTGTGTATTTCTTTTTTTTTCTTCTTATGATGAAATCAAATGTGTATTGAGCTGTGAATAACTCAATGTCAATACTGATTGATTTAAACAATAGAGTTTTAAAGAACATTAATTTATGTGTATTGAAGAGTAAAAATATTAATTGATTTTATACAATAATAGTAATATTGACTATTGATTGAATAAATAAGAGTTAATAACTGATTTACTTCTTATATCAAACCTGTTAAATATTGAAATTCAATTAAGATTGTTACTACACAAAACATAAAGAATTCTTGACATTATGTAATTAATGATAACACATTTCAACCAAAAACTTTCAAGTAAATATTTCGTGCAATCGTTTATTGATTTTATTAGAAATATCTCTCATTGCACACTTCTTGGCACTCTCTGCCTCCAGGAGTGAAATTCTACTTATTTACCACATGATTTCAAACAATTTGTAAGTCTCAAGCAATGTGTAAGTCTCAAGCAATGTGTAAGTCTCAAACAATGTGTAAGTCTCAAGCAATGTGTAAGTCTGAAGCAATATGTAAGTCTGAAGCAATATGTAAGTCTGAAGCAATATGTAAGTCTTAGGCAATGTGTAAGTCTGAAGCAATATGTAAGTCTCAGGCAATGTGTAAGTCTCAGGCAATGTGTAAGTCTCAAGCAATGTGTAAGTCTCAAGTCTCAAGCAATGGGTAAGTCTCAAGCAATATGTAAGTCTCAAGCAATGTATAAGTTTCAGGCAATATGTAAATCTCAGGCAATGTGTAAGTCTCAAGCAATGTGTAAGTCTCAAGCAATATGTAAGTCTCAGGCAATGTGTAAGTCTCCAGCAATGTGTAAGTCTCAAACAATGTGTAAGTCTCAGTGGTTTATGTAAGTGCTTGAAAAAAGTCGAAATTATTTTTCCTCTTTTAAAAATAATAATATAATGTAGCCTAAGAAATATTGGAGAGAATCATGGAAAATATTGCTGGTATAGTATGTAGGAGTTTGCATGCTGTTTGGATCACTTATTTTGGCCTTTTGAATCAAATTTTCGTGACTGTATGATATAAAACTAGAGATATGTCATATTTCTGGTCAAATCGTGATAATAAACCTCTGTTATATAACGATATAGGTGAATATATGATGTCGTGTGGTGGTGGGGAGTAGTAATAATCTAATAATATAGACCTCGAGTTCTATCTATTTTATTACTACACGCTAGGTTATTTCTCTCTAATAAAAAGCCTGCCTGCTATGATGAGGGGATGCTGATTATAGTTATTGATAATTATGAACATGAATAATTATTGACCAACACTCTATTTGACCAACTTCTATATCTTTTATTATCAATGATGACAAATTGTCCGATCTATTATTGGTCTTATCTTTCTACATATCGTTTTGATAATTAGAGTATGAACGAGTGATTGTTGAGTCAATAGAAAAAAGAAACATTTACAACAAATACGGAGCTTCAGCACATAAATATGAATGCGGGCAAAATAGTAAAATAGAACTTTTTTGTTTATTGGTATAAGTAACCATTTTGGGAATGCCTTACTTTTTTCCAAGGTTCATTATAGCCAACAGTTGATGAGTTGGGGATCCTATTGAGATATTGATAATTGCGGTGTCTCCGAAGTTCGGTCAAAAGCTTTCTGAGCTCTATGGGGTATGAAAAACATTATTACAATATATGCATATTCCATAATAGATTCATGACAAGGGGTCATTATTGCAAATTAGCTTTCAGCTCTAAGCTCTAAGCTAAAGTATATTTTGCCTACAAGTTAAAACCTTTTTCTAAAAGCATACAACCTCTATAAGCTCGCTAATAATTGTTGATTATCTAAATGTGACAAAAATTTAACAACCTCCTTATATGGTTAAATCCCAAAACCACCACAGCAGCATGGAATAGACATAGAACATAATATTATGATATCATTAAGAAAGTCAGAAATGAAATGTAATATGAAAATTTGATTTAATTTTGGTTAATGCAGGTAGCGTAGCAAAGTTTCTAATGCATCGAAGAATAACATTTAAACATATCATATGAAAATAACATCTCGGCCGAGTAAACTTGTATAAGATATTGTATATAATATGTTATATAACAGTTCGGTCGAGTAATCTTGTATGAGATATTGTATATAATATGTTATTTAACAGTTCGGTCGAGTAATCTTGTATGAGGTATTGTTTATAATATGTTATATAACAGGTCGGTCGAGTAAACTTGTATAAGATATTGTATATAATATGTTATTTAACAGTTCGGTCGAGCAAACTTTTATAAGATATTGTATATAATATGTTATATAACAGGTCGGTCGAGTAACTTGTATAAGATATTGTATATAATATGTTATATAACAGTTCGGTCGAGTATACTTGTATAAGATATTGTATATAATATGTTATATAACAGTCGGTCGAGTAACTTATACAAGATATTGTATCTAATATAATATATAACACCTCGGTCAAATAAACTTGTATAAGATATTGTATGTACAAATGCTATATACCAGCTTGGTCTAAAAGATACTGTATGCAATATGTTATATAAGGGTTTGATCGAGTAAAGTTGTATATGATAGTGTATGTAATAAAACAGCTCGGTCAAATAAACATGTATAAGATATTGTATGTTATATAACAGCTAAGTCGAGTAAACTCGATAAGATAAGCTCATAGTAAATTATATAATATATAAGGTCGATTATGGAATGAAATGAATGGAGTTTTACGTCCTACTTATATAGGCTTAAAGTAAATCATAGAATATATATAATAGTCGAGTATAAGTAATAGTATATCATATAGTATATAAAAGAGTGTGTATAGTTATAGAAGCTCAAAGTAAATCATATAAGATATATAAAATATACGAGTCGAGTTGAATTATATAAGCTCATATTAAATCATTTAATATATAAGAGTCGAGTTGAATTATATAAGCTCATAGTAAATCATTTAATATATATAAGAGTCGAGTTGAATTATATAAGCTCATATTAAATCATTTAATATATAAGAGTCGAGTTGAATTATATAAGCACATATTAAATCATTTAATATATATATAAGAGTCGAGTTGAATTATATAAGCTCATATTAAATCATTCAATATATAAGAGTCGAGTTGAATTATATAAGCTCATATTAAATCATTTAATATATATAAGAGTCGAGTTGAATAATATAAGCTCATATTAAATCATTTAATATAATATATAAGAGTCGAGTTGAATTATATAAGCTCACAGTAAATCATTTAATATATATAAGAGTCGAGTTGAATTATATAAGCTCATATTAAATCATTTAATATAATATATAAGAGTCGAGTTGAATTATATAAGCTCATAGTAAATCATTTAATATATAAGAGTCGAGTTGAATTATATAAGCTCATAGTAAATCATTTAATATATATAAGAGTCGAGTTGAATTATATAAGCTCATATTAAATCATTTAATATATATAAGAGTCGAGTAGAATTATATAAGCTCATATTAAATCATTTAATATATATAAGAGTCGAGTTGAATTATATAAGCTCATATTAAATCATTTAATATAATATATAAGAGTCGAGTAGAATTATATAAGCTCATATTAAATCATTTAATATATATAAGAGTCGAGTTGAATTATATAAGCTCATATTAAATCATACAATATATATAAGAGTCGAGTTGAATTATATAAGCTCATAGTAAATCATTTAATATATATAAGAGTCGAGTTGAATTATATAAGCTCATAGTAAATCATTTAATATATATAAGAGTCGAGTTGAATTATATAAGCTCATATTAAATCATTTAATATATATATAAGAGTCGGCGTTAATTATATAAGCTCATAGTAAATCATTTAATATATATAAGAGTCGAGTTGAATTATATAAGCTCATATTAAATCATTTAATATAATATATAAGAGTCGGCGTTAATTATATAAGATGATAGTGTATCTAATATGCTGTATAAGATGTTAAAGACTACTATAAGTGATTAATTGGGTGTAAAGGAATGTATTAATAAGAGAATTAAATCTTCTAATTAACAAACATATCAATAATAAATGACATTGGGATATTATCTACATCTGTTTACTCGAGAGACTCGGCATGTGGCTTCAACTTTGTATTATAACTGTAAATCAATTGTGAAAAAAATAACCCGGGGGTACAGGATAAGAACAAATTCATATCTGCGACTTAAGACTAGAGTAATGGAAGAAAATGCTCAAATTTTGGTGATTACATAATGGATTTTTTCGCCTATTTTTTCGAAATTATCATTTAATGCGTTACAAAAAATCTAGTGAAGTTTTTCGAAACAATTTCTCGAAAACATTATTCCTAACTTTTTGATGCTCAAAAGTACAGCAAAGTTTGAATTATAATATTTTGTCTTAACTGCCAAAATTTGTTCCCATCTACATTCATTTAAATTTTCAAATCAAAGCCATATAAGTTCAGCAAAACTATAGTGGAACACTTCCGCCATCATTCTCCCCATTCATAAAATTCATCGACAAACGAACGATGATTATTCACCAATTATTTCAATATTTTTAAAGCACTAACCTCTTGACTGTAACTTCTCTGAAACGCCAATCTTCTTTTGACTGTTTCTGTCGCCATTTTAAACACAATTCCAACGTCGGATGAGCTATTATTCATTCAAAATCCTTAGAACTAAACCCTATATAGGAATGTATAAATTATATAAGATTGGACCAAGTCGGGCACCTGCAATATCTGGCACTAAACTGACCAGATCTATCACAATTCATAAATAATTAACTCTCATCCAATCATTTCATCAACAAGTGTTTAGTTCAGACTTTTCATGGGATTAGAATGTTCGATTTTTACGCGGACCAGTCGTGATTGACTATTGGAAATTTCTGTGGTATCCTGTACGTCATGTATAGAACTTTTACACTTTACACACGCCCACATTCCAATACATTGCTTGTACTTATTGTTCAAGGTAATTATATATATTGCTTATTTAACATTTTATTTTCGTTGGAACAAAAGCTACCATTGTCTTCATGTTTGGTATATTTAATACGTTCTTAATTTGTCCATGTTTTATACTTTAAAGAAGGTTTTTGTCAGTAGTTGAGCCCATTTAGGATTGAAACATCATATTCTCCCAGATTCTCCCAGTTGGTAGAAGTAGTTGGAAATTCAGTTCTTTCTTCTTCTTGACCAAAGCTTATCACAGACGGATGATAATGGCGGTTAACCTATATCAAATTCGTCTTGAGAGGAATTGGAAAAATATGAAAAATGAGTGAAAGAAATCTCCCCCTCCTTCTTGGAAAATTCTTTGTCCCTGCTCGGTCCCCTCAACAAATGTTTCCTAAAAATGACACTTATGTACATTGGAACCTTCGCATTAGTTTACGCAACTTTGAAACTCATTTCATTTTACCTATTCAAGTCAAGGATTTCTCTTGTTTGATATAGAATATCATTGGCATGGTTCAAAAGGGAAATTTCATAGAGTTTGAGGGGAGCATGATGACTCTTTAGAATACAAATAACATGACAATTTGAAATATACCGGAAATCACCATCAATGGTGTCTGGAGCATGACATTTATCAGGATGAAATATCTTATTGTTTGTAACTACCATTGAAGGTGTGGGGGGTATACCTCTTCTTGCTGGATCGTCTTAGAATTCCCTTAGCATGTCTGTTATTTTAAATATACAGTACCAGAAATGTTGGTAATAATTGACCAGAATAATGAATCGCCTATGGTTTCACTCAAATTCTCATACTGTTTCTCTGATCGTGAATATTGCGAATTAATGCCAAGTCCGTTTGCAATATTGAATTTGATTGAACGGAATCTCAGACGTTATGAGGTAATGTGAATGTCAATAAAACGTTAAAAATATCCCAGAAAATATATATAGAAAATATTGGAAGGAACGGAGGGCGAAACTATGCATTTGCAGGAAAAGATATACCAATTTGAGAGGCTTTTAACTAATTGAAACATGAATGTATCAGTACAAGTGTACCCTGAAGGTTTAAAGCTGTCTTAACAAAGATGATGTTATATGTTAATATAGAAATATTCAGAGTACTAAAGCGGAATGCAAACAGAATCTTAATCTCTATAATCTAAATTAGTATATTATGAATACTGGATTAATACGTTTATGCCGTAGGCTATATTAGGGTATAAAGGGGCTAAATGAAATAAAAATCCGTACAAGCAAGACAATTCCGTTAGTCAAAATGTCGTCCAAAGTATGGCAAAATTTAGAGTAAAAGTAGTGTATGTAGTGAACTCCTCCAAAAAGAAAAACTGAGAGTGCGAAGTGCTATCCCATATATCCGTTATTTGCCTTCATAATATAATTGCCATCCCAAGTTTGCTTATCAAGACAACTCTAGCAATGGCATAAAATATTCTCATCTCTTTTTATCTAAAGAGTTCCTAGAAAAAACATATTATCGAGCTTTCGATTCCTTTTCGGTCATGAATCGACTAATTATATTTCAGTTAAGAATTCTATAGCTTATCAATTTACAGACTTTTATAGGATTTGATAACCACTGTATTTTACTGCTAATTGAGGCGAAATCAGAATCGACTAAGTGAAATGTTATGTTAAACAAAACTATTTTTATGTATACAATAGCGTAATAGGGAGGATTTTCAAATCGATTAGTAAACTAAACAACGTGAGTGAGCTATGCCTCGTGGGTACTTTACAGAATAAGGTATCCAATAGTTATTAAACGAATATCAATATTTATTGAAAATCAAAGCTAACAATTCGCCTCTTAAAGTGAATACGAAGCGTGTAATGGAATAAATATGGCGTCTCTCATCCATTCCATATTAAATCATTAGACAAATATTCATTTCAATTAAATCGCAACAAATATCAATTATTAGACTTAGCGAAACGGCAGATTCTATTGTCTTTAAGGCTACTTGTTGATATATAGTGTGATTGATGTCGTACGGTTCGTATCTAGTTCCGATTGAATTTTCACCAAGGACTTTTCATACAATATTACTACTCATTTATCACCATGGAACTTTTTTTTCAACATCCGCGCTTGCGAGGACAAGGGCATATTCTCCCCTCAGAAGCTGAAAGTTATTGAAATTTTAAGACTGTAGATTCGCCATTTTCGGGTGTTGATTTGGGTCTAATATATTCAAATAATCTTCAGAAGTACTGAAAATTTACAATAAATCGTATAAGCACATCAAAAATACCTCAAACTAGAAATTTCACTTTCTATTTCTAAACAGAAAAGAGCCTCAAGAAAAGACGGTTGTCATTTTCAACTTTCAAAAGCGCATAATTTAAGGTTATTGTTTTGTTGTTAGGATTTTTATTTGATATTATTTGACATCATCTTTTGTATGTTGTATTATGGTCCGAATTCTTTTGTACGTTGTAGTTGTGGTCTGAATTCTTTGTCAAGGGATAAATTATTGGTTTCTTTTCTAAATTAACTTAATGTTATATGCATTAAACTGAAAAGGTAGCAAGTTTCCCAAAATATTATTTTCAGTACATTATTTCACTGTTAAATTTGTCCACTCGCTTAAAAGCAATGATAATGCGATAATATAAAAACTTAGATCGCAATAATAATTACTCCCTCTATGTCTTTCAAAGATGGCCGACAAAAGTAGAGATATTACAGGTATTTTCACAAAAGTGTTGAAAAGCTCAAAAAGAAGTTGGCATATCATCAGGTTTGAATGCCAAATATAAAACGAGTAGTATATGCATCAATCTTTTGTGTACATAAAGGTTTAATGTCTTATTTTCCTTATATTATTTGTTTTTTAAAACATCTCATTCGCAATCAATTAATCAATCAATATTTTCTCGAATAGAAGTTGTCGCAAACTCATACCTTAACGGTTTATTTTCAATGTATGAGTGTCTTTCACACATTTCTCAATTTTCCCAGTATTTCATAACCAGGGACAGATAGTGAAAAAAGTGAATGTGGTTATTCACCAGCAGAGAAACCTGAGAAACGAAAGTCAACAGGAGAAGATGGACCTCCCACGAAAAAGATCACAATGAATATCAAGTCATTGAACCAAGACCCTGCTCCTAAACCACTGATGGGTTTTGGTATCAAGAAACCAGCTGGTGGAATTAAGATGTCACTCAATTCACAGGTATTTTAACATTATGGATTTAAATTTTTTTTAGTTTTAACCTTTGGGCGTAAGTAATGATATCAGTGTGCAAAAGACTTTACATTTTTAAGGAATCATGAAGACTATATCAACAATAAATGATGAAGGACTCCAAATATATGCTTAGAGTTGCGAAGTTGAAATAGATCTGAAAATTGGGTAAAATAATGATGTTCAAATTGTATTGAATTGCAGAAACCTAAAGAAGTGACAGTGACCACAGCTATTGTGAAGAAAAGTACAACTGTAGCTCAGGCTTTTAATTCTGATAGTGAAGTAAGTTCTATCCTTTTTACTCATTTTTTACCATTGACATAGTCTTTTCAACATCTGAGCCCACTGAGGTTATAAATGTTTATAGAAGTTAATTGGATAAAGTGTACCACAGACCCATCATTTTATTGATAAGGGTACAGATTTTTGTTTAACTAATTTTTACAGGAAGAGGAGGAAGAAATGCCACCTGAAGCTAAAATGAGAATGAAAAATGTTGGAAGGTTTGTAGATTTTGTCTTTTTTAATAATGTATCTACAAAAGGCTTGAAACAGAATATCTATCAAAAGAAAACTTGTATTCAGCTTATAGAGAATCATATATCTTGTTAGATTTCAACCCAGCATTCCCCTGTCAATTAATCAGGTTTGTTAAGCTTTTATGGAAAGGGCCACATGTAATTGCTTCATTGTCATGTCATTGTGGGAGATTAAGGCATAAAGATTCAATTACTTTCATTTTACCTTCATATTGTGATATTTTCTTTTTTAGGGAAACACCTACAGCAGCTGGTCCAAACTCATTTGGTAAAGGAAAACTTGGTTTCACTAATCATCATAGAATATTAGAGAAAGAAATAGAAAAACAGATAAAAGAATCTGGGGATTAGGGTTTTATTTTATTGGTTCATTTTTCTCATTGTATATTTCTCATTATCATATCATGTATATTTGATACATCATTAAAACTGATGCAGATATAGATTTCATACACTGACTTCCAAGCTTTGTTTTCTTCTTGCATTCTCAAATTTACAAGGTACATCATTAAATATTTATGACATAATCGTAATAATGAAATGCTTTTTCTTACTTAAATGAATTTTTTTACAATATGGGTATATGTAAAAACTGAAAACAGGGCTTGTCTGCTTGTAAAACTGAAAATTAGGATGTAATATTCCATTTTATGTGAATAAGGAATGCTTAAGGAAAAGTCTTTGTATGTTACGAAAAAAGAATGAGAATCTGTGAAGCTAATGTATTTGTAATTATTGTTTGCAACTGATATTATTATTTTCCATTGTTCGTTTTAATCAAATTGATAAAAGTGTACCATAAACTCCTCTCACCTCATTGTGTTTCTTGAGTTATGAACTGTGCAGCATGGTTCCAAGTTATGCTATAATGTCTTCCAGGTGATGGTTTATTACCTGTTAGACATCATTTCATCTTTAAAAAATTATTAAACAATAATGAGCTGGTTTTATCTGCATCTGGTACAATGATAGCATTGATTTTCCCCATTCTTCTGCAACTCCACTTTACCTTATGGTTTTATGACATCATATTTGCAAAAAACTGCTTTTAATATCTAAGGCTCTTTACGATAGTGATGTTATGGGAATTGCAAGAACGAAAGAATCAAGAACCATGTAATCCTATACATCACTGTATTTGCATGTGTTTCATTTTATTGTGTCTTTATAAGCCCTACCATCTTCACACCGTGTTCAGGGTATTATGTCTTTATCTTAAGCCCTCACTGCAATGGCCCACTACCTTTTTTCATGGTCAGCAATTAGATTGAATTGTATGCCAGCAAATACAGCCAATCAGAGCCCTTAATTTCTATTATTATTTTTTTACAGCCTTTCTGCCGAGGGCTCAGATTACCTGTATTTTCTAGTGTATAATCCAATTAAATTATGAAATAATGGAAATAATTGTGATGATCTGAAATGTAATTATATTTATTACAATAAATTATTGTTTTATATGGGTTTATTAATGTATCTCTTATGTTATTTAATTGGCTGAAAATATTTACTCAGCTTATGGGATTTAATATACTTATTTGTGTTAACATGTATTTTGTGCTCAAGGTGGCCTGTATTACAGTCAGACCCTCGGCCCATGGTCGGTTCAATCAACCGATCAAATACTGGTATAGGACATGTTGATCGGCAGTATAAAACACTTGAGATATTTGGTTAAAAAACTACGTGAAAAAACGTGAATTCAATCCTGCATCTAGAAAAGGAGGGAGTCCAGTCGTTAGGTTTATTGTTGGTTTTGCGGAAAATTGTCAAAAGTCTTGTGGTCAACTTCAATTGGTTTCTTACAAATTGGCGCATCCGGTGAAGTTGGACTCATGTATGAAATACACATTCGGCAATCTTCGGCATTTTCCCTAAAGTTGAACTTGTTGCATAGCAATACTTTCACGATAGGTCGTTTGTGATATACATTGATTATTTTGTGGCTAACGTCGCTATGATTCGCCACCGCACCGGTGTCAATTCCACTTGTTACGGTAGTTGGTCACGATCCTCTCCGATTATTGCACCATATGGGTTTACGCGTGTGTGAAGAAACGGATGTCACTGGTATAGCAAAATGTCTAGGGAAATTGTTTTGATGAAATTATCGACAGAAAAGCCAATTAAAGGTTATAAAAACCGCCCAAATTATGGAAATGAACAATGAAGCGTAAGAAATACATTGATCTCGATTTAACTGAAGCGAATATATCAGCGGCGTTTTGACATATTCCGGCACTAGCTGGCTTTTATGTCATTAGTTTTAACATTTTTTATTTCATATGAAAAATCAATTCTCTTTTTAAATATTTTCGGCACTTCAATATACAAAATGTAACAGGATTAACCTATTGGAAATAAATAACTTTATTTTTCTAAAATCCGTACAGTAGTTTCTACACCTACCACCAAAATTAAAACACGCATAAGCGTTTTAAATAGTTTCGGCGTTACAAAATCAACGAGTGGATATTTTCAGTCAAAATTTTCAAATGCGTCTCCATATTATGGTGTATAGTTTTCATAAATTTGAACAAAAAAAATTTTGGACTTAGAATCTACCAAAAAAACAAATTGCCCCTTTAAATATGAAAGTCATGATAAATGCAATACAGTCCATGTTTTACATAAGTTATGTTTTTTAAAGCTTGTAATCCCTTGTTAATATTCCAATTGTTAGCTATTTGGGTGACAGGCGGGCAGAGTGAGATATATTAGATATATATGAAATATTGCCCAGCTTAAAGCTTCCTTGGTTTCAACCACAGGTGGTTAAAGGGAAGTAACTCGATTGATAAATTACCGCTGGAGGGCGCTTTCTGGAACAAAGCGATGCTTCTGTTTTTACAAAAAAGATAGCGTAAGATTTCACATTTTTTTGTAATAAGAAGGGAAGAAAATATGTCAAATTCCAGTAAAAACCCAAATAACTCTGCCAAAGATAAGAAGGAGACGGTTAATGAAGAGGAAAGCAGGAAAAGAAGTTCGCCGACGGAAGACAATGAAGGTTCCGATTCGAGAAGATCAAGCAGAAGGAAGAAAACAAAGGTTTGGAGTAAATATTTTTTATTTATGCTATTCTAGATGATAATTCTATGTTAAAAATGCCAATTATCATCGTTTGAAACCTATATTTTCCAAATTAACATTGGGTTGATATGGCTATGGCGAGATAACCGAAATGTCGGAAATTTTACTACGACAACAGTTAACTTTTCAAGGGGAAGTAATTTTACAGACAACTTTTAACTTGATCATAGATGTTATACAATTGATTTGTAGGTAGAGAATGCCTCTGATGAAGATATTTCAGAAGATGATAAACAGGATGCCAAGCCAGAGAAAGAGAAACCAGAGAAGAAAGAAAGCGTGAAAGAGAAGAGTAAAGATTCTGGGAAGGGAGGAGATGAAAATGAGCCAGGTGAACATGATGACAGTGAAAATGACGACCCAACAGGTGAGTGGATAAATGCCCCATTTCTACTTTTGTTGCTTTGTAAAATTCAAATTATTCATATCCAGTGAAGCTTCACAGAGTGACTGAAAGTAACCTCATAAGAATTTGAGCTGTAATCTCTATGTCTTACAAATACATTTTTTATGATATGCTTTTGAATTATCTTTAATTTTCCAATAATAAATCAAATTATTTTTTAATTTCTTTAGGTCTGGAAGGAGCTGCATTTCAGAGTCGTTTACCATTAGATAAAATGACATCTCAGGAGGCTGCTTGTTTTCCTGATATCATACAAGGCCCTCCTCAAGCACAGAAAGTTTTCTTGTACATTAGAAATAGAATTGTAAGTAGGACTACTGTAGTATGAATTTTATCATTGATTTAAATAACAGACAGAAATTGTGTGGTATACATCTCCTGGTATTTCAGTTTGTATTGTTATCATCATGTGAAATTTATCAATCACAATCCCTACTGAAATCATACTGTATTTTATAAAAATCTTTTATCAGCATTTAAATTGTTTTTAAAAATTTATTCTTTGTTTTAGCTTCAGTGTTGGTTGGAAAATTGTAAAGTTCAGGCGACATTTGAAACAGTTTTACCACAGATTGAATCCCCTTACAATAGTAAGTTTTTCATAGGCAATTCTTAATGATGGTTATTGGTATTCTTGTCTAAATTGACAAAGAGAATGTACATGTTTTTAACTGTTTTGTAGGTGATGGGCCACTGGTTATGAGAATACATGCTTATTTAGAGAGATATGGTTATATCAATTTTGGAGTTTTTAAAAGACTGAAACCACTACCAGGTAAGCTGTATTTTAAGTCATTATTTATCTGTCCAAAGATACTAAATTAAGTGATTAGAAAGTGTCTTGCATGATATCATCTAAATTCACGCTCAAACAAAATTGACTTCTCTGCTCTAGAAAATACATAAATGTGCATATAAATATCTTAGACATTAGGTTTGATTACTGTCAACAATGTAGAAATGAATATGATATCTATTTCAGCCAAGAAACATGGTCGTGTTGTAGTGATAGGAGCTGGTATTGCAGGGCTAGGTGCTGCTAAACAACTTCTTGCATTTGGTTTGGATGTTGTCGTGTTAGAAGCTAGAGTAAGTAGCCCTATGTCTTACTGTAGTTTTATTCCAATGGTGTAGTAATTAATAAGAGCTCTTCACTGTTAACACAGGAAGAATGGTTTACAATATAAAGGCTCTCAGCTGACAGACTACTGTGAAGATTAGCAATTGTAACTCTTAATGTCCCTGTGTGTTTGAGTTTGTCAGTTTGAGTCTACATAGCTCACAGTATTTACTTACATGTTATTTTAGAATTCCTTTTACAATTTAGTTTAATCTGGTGGCTAATGAATTAATTTCAAATCTTTCTACCATTGTTTTACAGGAGAGAGTTGGAGGAAGAATTGTAACATTTAGAAAGGGGAACTATGTAGCTGATTTAGGAGCTATGGTGGTAACTGGACTAGGTAAGACATTTAATCATTGACAGAAGACATAGCATTCAATAGTTCTTTTTCTTTTATATGATTTGTTGTCAAGTTAATAACAGAGTTCTGTTTCAAAAAGGACAAAATTTTTTAACAACTTATGAATTCAGTTGTGGAAAGTTTGATACATAAAGATGAAAATTTGGGATCTTCTTATACAGCATCATCAACTGCTTTGTCATTAACTCATAATTTTATATGTCTTGTTCTAATTTCCAGGGGGTAATCCTGTTACTATTTTAAGTAAACAAGTCAACATGGAACTACACAAAATAAAACAGAAATGTCCTCTATATGAGAGTAATGGTGCCACTGTAAGTCTCTTTACTATATCTAAATCAAAATCATTTCTGCATGTATCCTTCTGAACAGTTTTGTTATATCAATAACATGTAAAAAAAAAATTGATTTTCTTGATTATTGCTCATTACTGTTAAAAATATCTAGCGAACGGTAGAAAAGAATAACTTTTGGTTTTAAAAATGGCATCTTTAGCAAACAAAATCTGCCTGACTACAAATCAAAAGTTGTACAAGTGATCGCATCATATGTTTGAAATTGAATCTAATGTAGGTTCCCAAAGAAAAAGATGAGATGGTAGAGAGAGAATTTAACAGACTTCTAGAAACAACATCCTATTTATCACACCAGATGGATTTTAACTATATTAATAATAAACCAGCAGCTTTAGGCCAGGCTCTAGAGGCTGTTATCAAGTAAGTTCTTCTTATAATTTGGTGATTATTGGCAAGCTTGTAAGAATTTACCCCAAGTTTGTTTAGACTTATGAATCTTATAACACGTAGTTGCAACACTTGATGCCGTTGTTTGAATGGTTTTTTTTTTCAGAATTCTTTTTTTCAGAGTTCACATTGCTATTATTTTGTTATATGTAAGTACTATTGCAATATGTGTTCATCATGAATACAGCTTATCAAAATTCATTATTAAAACTCATACCTATGATGTTTATATCATTACAGATTACAAGAAAAACATGTGAAAGAGAAACAGTGTCAACATCAGAGACATATTCTAGAATTACAGGATAAATTAAAGAAGAATCAATCACAGGTAAGTAAAGATTTTACAAAATCAGGTATTCAAGGTCTCCAGATTCGAAGACCCCAGCATTTTACGATAAAAAAATGAATATCACTCTACATTTGAAATGATTTGCTAGATTCAAGCAGCTTATTTTCATACTAGAGTGGTCGTCCATACTCATGTATGATGTTATAATATTAAGTTCTGTAAAGATGACTTTGATTGTGGAAAACCTTGTGACATAATGAATATGTGTCAAGGAGGTCTATTATATGAAGTTTACCTACAATGGAACATGGTATAAAATTTATACTATAAATATGTTATAATTTTGGACATATTGCAGAGATGATTCATATGATATAATAAATTTTTCATTTTCTGGATTTATTTTAGTTGATAGCCTATAGAGATAAAGTAGAAGAGATCAATAAACAGTGGCGTGAAGCATCAGAAATAAAACCACCAGGTGATATTACAGCTGAGTTCCTTATCAAGAGTAAATTACGAGATCTAAATGCTGCTTGTAAAGAATATGATCAACTTGTTGCCCAGCAGAAAGAAATTGAAGAAAAACTACAAGAATTGGAAGCTAATCCACCAAGGTAAATATATCCTAAAATCGTCATATACTACCACTCAGAAGGAAAAAAAATAATTTTCAAGGATTACAAATACAATCACATACTTATCTACCAGCTGGTTCATGAAAAAGCTGCTGTTATTGACCTTTTTGGGTTCAGATGTGGAATAGATTTTGTATATTGTGTTTTGTAGATCACCAGGAAACAGCATGCCAATTGTCTTATATAAGGTTTCCCCTCTGCATGCCAATGAAATGTGAAAGTAAAACTCTTTAATTCAGACTTGTAACTGATTTTCTTTTTTCTCATATTTCAGTGATGTTTATTTATCATCAAGAGATCGTCAAATATTAGACTGGCATTTTGCTAATTTAGAATTTGCTAACGCTACACCATTGACAGCTTTATCATTAAAACATTGGGATCAAGATGATGATTTTGAATTTTCTGGAAGCCATTTAACTGGTAGGTATGGTGTGGTCTACACGCCATTTTTATATTTATTCTAAATGTTATTTCTGATACAGTGAAACCCCCTCAACTCATCCTCTGTATGCAAGATTTTTCAAGGCAAGTCTCCAGTATTTTTATCTTGACCTGTGCACATGTATGTTTGTCCCCCCATTGTGTCAACAGCCTAAGATACACTCTTGTCAATTTTTGGGGTTGAAGCTAAAGGTCTTTGTGCCATATTCTTAATGTTGACTTTAACACTAGCTTTCTTTGTTTGCTCCTATATTTTCTAACAGACTTTCCTGTGGCTTGAATTTGCATCAGGATGAGCTATAATTTTCAGTTGTATTATTATCAATGATGTAATATTATTTTGCAGTTCGCAATGGTTATTCCTGTGTTCCTGTAGCTTTATCTGAAGGATTAGATATAAAATTAAACACAGCAGTTAGACAAATTAGACATACCACTACTGGTAAGACAAATATACTTAAATATCTGTGTAAAACTGATTTCATTTTTAGGCCTGTCTCAAGTCTGAGCTATTGAAAGGTGTATCAAAAGGATGCAAAATAACCCTTGAAAACATATTAGTTATATCCGAATTTTTCTTACCAGACTACTAAGTAATTTTCTTAGTTCTGTTTTCATAGATGGTTTTAAGAGACGATAATTTGTTATTTTTTTCTGTAGGTGTAGAGATAGTAACTACTAATGCTAAAAACAATGCAAATCCCCAGACTTATAAAGCAGATGCTGTATTATCAACCTTACCATTGGGGGTCATGAAAGAATGTCTGAAGGGATCAGGACCTAATAGTGTACAGTTTATACCTCCATTACCAGAATGGAAAACAGGGGCTATTCAAAGACTAGGTTTTGGTAATCTCAATAAGGTATGCACTGAAATAGTTTTCAACAAGTTAATAGACAAACTGTGCTTAAATCAGTTCTTGCAATGACAAAACAGAACTAGCTACTGTTGCTAAAATCAGTACTTTAAGAGATTGTAAAGAGGTTTTTATGTATATGAGGGACACAGATATGCACTATTCTATTTTTAGAGACATTTGTAGCCCTTGTAAATCCACTAAAACTTAGCGTTTACTGTACACAGATATTGGTGATGATAGTCTAGACTGTTTAAGGTGCACATGTTAATTCATTCAAGGGTCAACATGTAGCATACTACTTACAAGTTAATAATGTACATTTTTATTTAAGACAATTAAAAGACTTACAAGCATCACTATAACTTTATTACAGGTGGTGTTATGTTTTGATAGAATATTCTGGGATCCCAACTCTAATTTATTTGGACATGTTGGAAGTACAACATTAAGTCGTGGAGAGTTATTTTTATTCTGGAATCTGTATAAAGCACCAGTATTATTAGCTCTAGTAGCAGGTGAAGCAGCAGCCATCATGGAAAATGTTACTGATGATGTTATTGTAGGAAGATCTATTGCTGTATTGAAGTTGATATTTGGAAATAATGCTGTACCTCAGGTTTGTTTTCCTGTGTATTATGAGACTTATGTTGATTGGCAATGTCATTTTGTCAGGATTGTTGATTGGCCATATTTGCTGGACATGTCTGTTTGTCTGTCCAAAATGCCAGATTGAAAATAGCCTGTCGGACACTGAATGTCTTTAGCACTGTTTTCAATATTATCAGCTGTCAGGTATCTTGAGGGAACAACACCTCTGTTTCCATCTTATCTGAGGTTTTATGTTTCAAAGTTGTTACATATATTGTTATCTTTTTTCTTGTCAATATTTCAGCCTAAAGAAACATTGGTAACAAGATGGAGAGCTGATCCTTGGTCTCGGGGATCTTATTCTTTTGTTGCTGCTGGATCTTCAGGTTAGCTTGAATATTTTGCATGCATAGATACTGACTTTCTTCAAACACTTGAATATAAATATTTTGACCCATTGCCCAACAACATATTCAGGAATGTAAGGCATATATTACTTTTAGTTTTAAAGCACAACCTGAAGGTGTCCTCTCAATATTATCTTGTACTGGTAGCAGGGATTCAAATTTCTATTAAACTGAACATCTCACATATTGGCATTATAGCCCCTACATTGTTGAGGATTACATTTTAATCGTTTTAATTTCTTTTTTAGGTAATGATTATGATCTACTATCGACACCAGTACCACCACAACAAGGGGCACAACCCAGATTATTCTTCGCAGGAGAACATACTGTTAGAAACTACCCTGCTACAGTACATGGTGCTTTCCTCAGTGGATTACGAGAGGCAGGGAGAATTGCTGATCAATTTCTAGGAGCACCTTACGCCATGCCAACAAGACAATCAGCACCACATGTCAACTGAAGCTATGATACATGATCAGTTATTTCTTGTTGATAGTTAACTATTTTCTTGTCTAATAGTAATATTTCTCAATGCTTAGAAATAGAATTCTTGGTTCTGCTCAAACTATCACAAAATGTTTAATTCATCAAGGACAGTCTTTAACATCTTATTCTTGGTCTGAGAAGCAGATATTCTTGTAGCTTGACCTTGTTGGTTAAAAAATTATTTCTTAGCGAATTAGTTTTGTTTAAGCATAATATTTTGTGTATTCCACACAGATTGCTATTTGCAACACCATTAATATTGAGTTTAATAAAGGCTATCAGGCCATGAGAATACCAGCTGATTGATCAAGGTTAAAACCTAAAACCTTTGTTAGTTATCACATTAGAATCAGTAAAGAAAGACATGAGGTCCTGTTATTCATTATAGTTTCACCAAAACAAATAAAGTAATCATCCTTTTATCAGATCTAAAAAAATTTAAATCTGAAGTTTATTTATTCATTCTCAATATAATGTAATTTATTTTTGTATCAGTGTATCAATGCTAGTTGAAGCATTCAGTTCATTTCATTTGTATATTCTATTTTCACAAATAAAATCTTCATTTCTGCTTGAAATATTACTAGACCTTTATCAGTTACATAGGACAACTCTTGGTTGGAAAGATAGCCTTGATCCCCCACAAGTCCTAAAAACTTTGGTAATTACAATCATTTTAGGCTACAAAGACGGTCATTCTCATTCCTCAGGGGTCGTCCACTGATTTTGCTGTTTTATATTGGAGTGCTACTGCACAACCCCTTAATAAAATAATTGACTGTATTTGATTTAAAGCCTTGTGATTTGACAATTTATTTGGTGTAACATTGGATATTCGTGAAATAGATTATAAACTTGTAAAATTCCCATCTCCATAATGATCAATTGTTGATAAACTAGCTATATATATATATATATATCTAGTCTTCATTTCCACCAGCTGATTTTCTGGTAGTTAATGCTATTTCTTTAACTTGAGGTAATAAATCTTTCATTTCTTTTTCAATACTATCTAAATCTTCTATTTCTTCTTCCGAACTTTTTAATTTGGCTGATTTTATAACTAATTCTGAAAATATACTTTAAATGTGAGAATGAAATTGAGTCTTATGGGTAACATATACACCTACTGATGTTCTAACTCTGAGTTTGACAACTGTTAGGTCTGTATCAAATCCACTGCTGGATTCCCATCATAATTTTTGTATTTATATACCGTAATCACTCTATGAGCAATAATCAAATTAACTATATACTGGGAACGATAAAATGGAAAACAATTATTTTACTAAATAACTTGGGATGATTCAACCAGCACTGATGATCTGAGTGTTTATTAAAAACATAACATACCTTGAAAGTCTGTCAATATTGTTTGTTTTTCTGTATCTAGATAAGTGGATAAGAATTGAACTATCTGTGGTACCAGTCGACCTGGTGTATCTAATATTGTCTGTGTAAAGGTATAAAATAATATCACACTAGCTAAATGTAAAGTCATAGCTGGATCATTCTCATCTTTTAACTGAGCAGCTAGAGACTGGCGGTGACTAAATGTTAGCTGTCTGAAAAAGAAAAATGATAAACTATACTGGCTTAATGATGAACAATACCATGCAGTAGCCAATGAGGAAAGGTGCACTTCTATTTTAATATACTTCACAACCAGTAGCCTGTAGTACAGAGAGCCTCAATTCTATGTCTTTCCCAAACAACTAGACATAAATTTCAGATCAGTCTATAGTCACCAGTCTAGTCTAGCTCTCCAACCATGACACCAAAATCCACCACTTTCCACTTGCCCATCACCTAGCTTTAAAATCCTTGGCATGAATAAAAGATGGTGAACGATTTGGCCCATCATAATGTTATTTCAGAGCATTATAGAATTAAATTTGCTCAATAACTTACCTTTCTTTCTTCTTATCAGGTTTTTTTAACATGAGACCTAAATGTTCTGGTCCACATAAATTTTCAAACTGATTAAAAAACTCATCTAAGCTCTACAATACATTAAGAATGAACATATTGAAATTATGACTACTTCCTCAAAGCAAAGCATCAATAACACTTTCCATCATTTGAATATTTAAATAACTCTAGTTTTATCAGATTTAAGCAGCTGAAAAACCTTTCATTAACATGAAGGACAATAGATCTTTATTCAAATGATATCTGCCTTTTAATGTTATAAAATAGTTAGTGATAAATCTGTAAACCAGTTTTTACCTTTCCTCTAACAGCTTGATGTAATTTAGTTAAAGGTACTTGATCTTTACTAGGTAATTTCATAATTAATTTTAAACGCTCCTGAAAAACAAAATGTTTCAAAATTCTGTTCCATGATTATAATTATAGACCAATCTCAATAACTGGACTAGATAGAATGAAGTAACACTGGAAAAATGGTATTTTTGAAATGTTTCTTTATACTAATGACAAATTATCTTTACACCTATATCAAAGGCTTAAGGTATTGGTATAAAGAAAGATCATGGTTCAGAACTTGATAAAAATCATCACAAGTTGGTACGAGTCTGGTGAAGGCCTTAATAAGTTATAACACAAAGTTCTTACCTCGTTAGTTAATGTAGATTCATCTTGAACAGACATTTGATGATCTCCTGCTACAGCATTAACTATTATATTACACATATCATTACATACTGTATTTAATAGATGTTTACTCAGTTGAGTTTGAGTATCATCTATAATAAAATATAAAGCCCATTACATAACTATCATATAAGAAACCACAGTCTTTAAATTTTGAACAGTTTTGGGGATTACAATAACAAGATGGTGCTTAACTGGTTATTTCTGCATGTTCGGGATTCATGAAATCAACCAGGGGAACAATAAAACAATTTGGAACATGGTTCAGAATGAGTTCTTTATTTTCCAAAAAGTTGGAATTATAGACAAAATTCAAAATGACAGAGAAATAATAGAAGGATAAATTTTGAAAGTGATATATGTGGTTCAGAATATTTCGATTGTAGCCAGAATTAGAACAGACAGAAACTGTTCAGACCTCATCAATAGAGCTCTATCCAAATTTAACTCAGCATTGACTAATGTTAAGAGGTGCTGTAAATAATTCAGACATCTTTTTAATTATAAAAAATCTTACCTTTAAAATTCTTCAGGCCTTTTTCAAATAATTTAACATTGGTCCATAAGCCTAATATTTTCTCTTGTAATACATTATGTGTTTTCTTTCTATCTACACTAGAGGTTGTACCAACTATTTCACTTAATGTTGATTTTACTACTTCTAAATATTCTTTATTTAATGGTCTGAAAAGTAAAGTCAACATTTCAATTTCAGTTTTTGTCCCAAATTTTTGCCAGTGAGAATAGCTTCAATAACCAAATATATACATATAAAGGTGAGTCCCAGCCTGCCATTTCTTTTTATTATATAGGTAGATGTATTAGCAAATCATAACATCAACCATTCAAGTCATTCCCTTACGGCCAAGATATTTGAAAAAAATAATAAGTATACCTCGTAGTAAACTGATTCCAGCATAGACATAAATTTTATAAATCTCATTCTTGTGAAACCATGATAGCTTTAAGCTTCAAACCAATAAAGTGATTTACCTATAAAGTTGTGTGGCTATTTCTTTGATTAATTTTTCAGGACAATCACGTAAGAAAGGTTGATCTCTAATAATCTCTGATAGTTCCTCAATACTCAAAAATTCTATAACTTCAACTTGAGATGGTTTATTATTATCATCATCAGAATCACCACCTCTATCATTGTCTCTACCTCGTCCACCTTTCTTCTTAGTTGATTTAGTTTTAATTTCTCTACCTTGAGTTCCTCCTCCACTTTTAGTACTACCACTTCCAGCTATAAATAATAAACATATATTATTGAATCATTATCTAAGAAGCACTTAGTATAGCAGCGTAGGATATTTGTCTTGTCCTCAAGGTTCAAAGGTTGGTGATTTGATCACAAGAACTTTCTACCATTGTCTTTAGCCACAGACATGCGTTGATTTCTTTCAGAGGCCATAATGTTAACCTACCAATCAAATACATAGTAGAAATAATTACAAAGTTCTAATTTACCTGCAGCCTTTTTCCTTCTCTGTTCTCTTCTTTCTTCTTTCATATCAACAAAATCATCATCCTTGGATGATCTACCTTTACCTTCATCTGGAGCAAACTTCTTAGGATCGGCAAGGGCATCCTTAAAACACAAATTAGTATTTGAGTTTCAAATTAAAAGACACATTTTTCCTTATACTTTCAAATCATTTCAAGCAGCTTGCTTTCCTTTCTGATACAATTATATTCAGCATTACAAGCAGTATTGATAGCACAGTATGTTAGCTCAGCCCAAGGGGAGTTGGATTAGAGATCCTTCAAGTCCATTCAATTTCAAATCTAACCCCCTATCATCACAATGAGAATTTCATAATATATTTACCTTTTTGGCCTTCTTTATCACTCTATCTTTAAAAATTTCATGACATTGTGTAATGATTTTCTCACTAGCTATTATAGTTTTACCACAGATAATAGCACCATTATGATTCTTTAGATAAGCTGTTAGTAATTGTTGTGCATCATTTGTTGTAAATACTGATGGTAAAATGGTCTGTAAAACACATTTAAATGTTTATTTTATTTTCATGCAGAAAATGATAAAAAAAGTTATCTTAATAAGATTAGAACTTAGGTTCAGATAAGCACTGTTTGCACTGTAAGGGAAATTCTGCTAAAAAAGTGGTCATAATACATAAGTATCAAAATCATCAGTGTATCAGAAATTTTTTATAGTATTTTTCAAATAAATTATTGAACGGTAGCTGAATGAAATATGCTGTACAAAATTAACATGAACTCAGCTCAGTATGTTGCCTACATAAGTTAAATAATTCTAACCAGCAAAACTAGTTTCGGAAAATCTGAGCCAAACTTTCTAATTTCAGAACTTATGGTATATGCCCAAAGTAATGAAACTTATTGAAAAAAAATTATTTTCTATACTGATTCTAAATAAAGCAATGCTTTTATCAGAACCTAAAAAGAAAAAATCTATTAGACTTACTGATATATCTAACCAGGTATCTTGAGACAGTGTTTCATCAACACTGGCCTCAACTAAATCTTGTAAACCTTTACCAGCACAAGATGAACTGAGATATACTATATCTTCTTGATGGAATCTTTGTTTAATATATTCTTTAACTTCTGTTATACCTAATCTATGAAGTGGTGCGTATTCTATAAAAAAAAAACAATCATAATAAATATTATAATATATATTGTTAGACATGTCACATTATTCATTTCTCTTGATATCAATTTCTGTATGACATGTGAAAAGTTGAGTTGATAAATGTCAGTATATCCACACATCTTCATAATACAAAACATATTAACATCTTGATTCAACGTTATACAGTCAAACTAACAGCCTTTATTTATACATCTAGATCTGATGACTTACTTTGTTCCATATAAGAAAATATGAAATGGATTTCTCTACACTTTAATTGACAAGTGAATATTTCTGACTTCTATCTGTCAACGGATGCTTAAAATGCTGGAACAATGTCATTACAACAGAAAATGAAAATATTCACTAACTCTATTATAATAGGATGAATTACCTAAATAACCATTCTGTTGATAAAATGTATCTACCCAGTCATTCTGTGATTTAACATAGATATCAGGTGTATAAATATTTCCCATTAAATTACCACATAATCTACTACTTTTAATTAGGTCTTCTAATATAGCTGAAACAAATTAAATATAGCTTTAAAGAAGTTAAATAGGCCTATATAAATAATATAGCTTAACATAGCTTAAGACTAAAATGAAGGCTAAATACATAAATATAGATTCACTATATATTTAATTCAAAATAAAGATTCTTTGGAGAATTAAAACAGTAAATGCTAGAAGCAGTATCATGTATACTTACAAGTAAAAAGGTTTTCTTGTAAACCAAGATGATTTTGAATAGCTGTTACTGTAAATGGGCTGGAAAATTAAAGAAAATGATTATACCTTCAGATTAACAAATTGAATTAAATGCAAAGAGGAAAAAACTTATTAACAAGATCTAAATGAAGTTATTTTGATGCAACAAATCTCTTTACCTTGTTACAGCACTTAGAGCTCCTCTAATCTTAGCCTTCATTCTTCTAACATAAGCTTCAGTAAATATAACATCTCGATCAAATTTATCAACTCTTCCTTTTATAGTTGATCCAATCCTTGATATTAATACCTAAAGAAATAAATTAAATAAATAAACATTTTATTTTGTACAATCTTGTCATAAATGCACTCTGCAAGGCTTGTAAGTTGAGGCCAAACACCATAAGAAACAGGGATAAGTTTCTTACAATTTCTTACCATGAAACTTTATCCAAAGTCTGAGATTGGCCAGTACAAAATTAACCCTAAATTAAGAGGTAAGATTTTGGATTTGTCTCTAAGGTGGTGTTTATCTGTCGGTTAGTCAACACACATTTTTACTGTTTACAACTTAGATGTTTCATACATGTATGTATATGATTTTGAAGTATTTCAAAATATACATACCTTGGAAACAAATTCAAATGGAAGATCATATTGTCTGACTATATCAGCTATTTTAATATAACCTTGTTCTTGTAATTTATCATTAACTTCTTCAGCTAACTGATTCTGATACGTTCTAGAAATAATGTAAACAAAATGTATCTGTAGGACTGTTGGGAATAGACCATTATTACAAAATTTACTTACACATAGAATATTTTTTTTACAGAACCTGTAGAGGCTATACTCATCCATATCTCCTATGTAGAATAATATCTAAAATATATGATTTTCTATCCCATAATAAATCAATTGAACAAAGTGAACTTTTAAACCATTTACTGAACAGAAATCATAACCCCATCACTTAATGTGCAAATAAAAAGACTATACTAAGTATTTGTTTAGAATATCTAGATTAAAACCAAACTATAGTCTAGGTTGAAAACATAACTTACTTATCAATAAGTTGACCTAAGACCAATGAAAATGTTCCCTGTTTAATAATCTTTCCAACTTGTCCTTCAATAACACTTAAATCAACATTAAGTATCTCTTGTAACTCCACTAAATTTATCCTTCCTGAAAATGAAACAATAGATTCAAAGACTTTAACATATGTACCAAAGAAAGCTTTGGGATCCTGTTCCTGAGATCATTTGCTTGACATTTGGTATGGTGGTCAAGGATTCTATCTTAAGTGTCTTTAGTGTTTTCCTTACAGATGAATATAATCTAATTCAAATTGAAGATCATCTTGCCTTCCAATTCTAATAGACTTCAATTACTTTTTGTTTGCTTCTGGTACAAAGTTATCTATTCAATACTTACCTCCATGAACTTGTAGTTCCTCTTTGATTTCTTTATTGATTTCATCATGTGTGAGATATTCTTTACCATCACAAGTATAAACAACATCTATATAATTCAATTCTATCAATTTAGCAACAATTTCTACTACATTTCTTTCTGATAATCTATAAAAAAAATGAAGAAAAAAATTATAAGTGATATAAATAGGATAACATCTGGTGTTGTTAGTCTAATCTTCCTATGAAGGTATGACGATTCTTTAGTGGCCTAAGAATTCAGTAGATAATTTGGTGCTGTAGCTTACAATACCCCCCCCCCCCCCCAC